GTGAAGGCAAACCTCGTAACGTTTACTTAATATATATCTTTGTACTTTTATGTGAATTACCGCTTTCGTAAATCACGTAATTTCTCAAGAGATGGATCCTTTGTCTTGTTGGAGCTGGCATGTGAGCACTGACCAAGCTAGAAAGAGTGTGCAGATAATAGGTTTGCCATGGCGAGGCAGGGGAAAAAGAATGTTCCTTGTTTTTACGGTCAGGCAAGTTTGCAATCTACACTCTAAGTACTTTGTAAAGTCAATGGGAAACCGGGACATTCTTCTCAGGTTGCCATAGGGTCGTGACCACTAAAATAAAGACATTTTGGTCGTGACAAGTGTGCGACCACCCTGCAAGATCTATAAGCCACTGCAAGGAATGGAAAGACATTGCTGACGTTTCGAGAATTTGCTCTTTAAGTACTTAGCGAAAGTAGAAATGTAAACTTATCAAAACAAATATGTTCTGGTGTGATTTATGGAAAATATAAAACCTTTTTTGGGGGGGGGGGGGGGGCGATGGAGGAATTATCGTACACTTAAACCTTCAGGTGTATGTGCCCTTGCCCACATCCATAAATAAAATCCTTTGAATAATACACGCGGTATTGAAGGCATTGTTATTTCAGACTAGGAAGACAAAAGCAAGACTGTTAAACAGCATCTGCTAAAAAAGTGATGATTAGGAAGAATGGCAACTCCGACAAAATCGGTGATTTTAAAAACCTGTGCAACGACGTGATGGATAAAATTAGGTAAAAAGCACGTTTCAGTCAGCGCTTTCATAACATTTGATACCTGGAAACTGTAGAAAACACAATGCCCAGTGCCTTTTAATAACCTCGCTACGGTTATCTTAGTCCACCGTCAAATCACTACGCCCGGCTTAAAGGAGTCTTCAATACCCACTACAGTAAGGCCAACAGGAAGAGGTACATGTAGCTATTGTTCAGGGTGATCAATCACTAAAGAAATGTCATCAGGAATGAACGAGGTACTCACTAAAAGTTCACGCCTTCTTTAAAAATAAAAATTTGTTTGTTCATGTTACTCAAGGCGAAAGTGCCTTCATACATGACGTATTCTCTATTCGCTCTTGCTTAAGCGTTGAAATATCCCTTGAGAAAGACTACCTGACCTTTTGAGTAATTCTGGATGTTGTCTTGTACGTTATACTGTGTTTGAGAACAATGTTACTGGCGTGGATCATCAGCCATTCAGTCTGTTATTATTGTTTGAATGATCTGCATGCGGTCAATGTCAATGTCAATATCAAACGCTTCGGTTAAACAACTTGAAAATAACAATTGGATGGGAACAAATATCAGTAACTTTAGATGTTTATCAAGGTTTTTTTGCAGTTCTCCCTCTCCGATCACGCTATCGCAGAACTTTGGACGATCATCTTGTGCTTTTTGTACATCGTTTACTTTTTTGTTCATTGTCTTCTTTTTATTAAAGCCCCCACAAAGAGGGTGCATACTCCAAATCGGTGAATGTATTGAAAGATACGGGTTGCCGTTAACTTGATGAGCTGGCTACAATATTAGCAGGGGAATATCAAGCATATAACTGAATTTCGTTTTTACATTGTTACTTTTCTCATCATTGTAATTATTACGAGTGAATGTCTTTACATGTAGTTCTGTAACGATAGCGTTGGACATTTTGAATAGCTATCAAATAGACGGATCATTGTAGCAACTGAACAAGACTGTGTTTTACCTCGTATCTTTTCTGTCTTCGAAGTATTACATATTTGTAATATAAGTTTGCGGGATTTTAAAAAGTTGTCAAGCATTCTTTCAAAAGGCAAATATTTCGTAGTTGCAGATATCAGCTGTTCTTTCTTCAAGTGATTTAATTTTAAGTTTCCAGCTTTGACTTTATCATCACAAGCTGAGCTATTCTGGTGCTTTTTATTGTCTGACGGTAAATAATAAAAGAACAAAATACCGGGTTTTTCTGTCTCAATTTAGATTGTTATGTATTCGGTCAGATACCGAGAAACATGCATACCAGCGTCCGCGTTCTTTAAGAAACACCATTCACAAGTCAGTCTGTAGCTCACACAAAAAAGTAAAAAATTAGAAAAGTCGCTTTGCAGACTATCGAAAGTCAACTCATCAAACCGGCAACAGAGCACCAAACCTACAAATTTCCTCGTTCAACTGCAAACGTTTCCAGTTTTCGTCACCAGCCAACTCAAACTTCGTCTTCTGCAGAGAAAGGCTCGATTTTTCTTAAATCATTAGGCTGTTTCCGGTTGTCCTTTTTCTTTTAAAGTCCCTTGTTTATCTCGTTTCTTCACGTTAGCTTTTTCAGCAAGAATGGAACAGTAGACTTGAAGAAGTACTCAGAATATATCGATTAACAGAAGAACCACGCATCGGTAGAAGGAATACAAAACGAAGATTCGAGTTGCCTTTGCTATAATTGAATTCCCTCTTTTTTTTTCCAGTAGGAAATAAGTCATAGATTTATGGCCTATGTGTCGGTTTACCATGGGTATTCTGCAAGAAAACGAACGGTACTTGCTTAAGCCCATTTCAGTTACCTTGCTTTGGATATAAAAGTGCAAGGTTTATGAGGTCTATTGGAATTTTCTTGGACAAAGGTATTCACAGCTGTCTAAGCTAAGCACGCCGCAACTCAGTGTGAGGTTATTAATATTACCATTCGGTTCTCTTACTTGCGTCCTCGTAAATTAAAACAGATGTTTAAGAGAACTTGCTTTTAAACTGCGGAAGAGTTAATATCTTCATATGTTTTTAAGCAGTAAGAGAAATCCTTGAGTCAGATGCGTTGATTTGTTTCTTTCTCACAGACGTCTGGATGTAACCTAACCTTTTATAGTACACACATGCACTTTATAAATATTGAACAATGGCTTCCGTTGTAGTGCTTATTGTTTGTTGGTCTATTTTTGCATTTCAAAGTTATCCTCTTTTAACTTATTATAATTACCTTTTTTATGTTTCATTATTATTGTTTTTATTACATCCACATGGCAAGCCATGCTGTTTGCCATACGTTTCAGCGTGTGGACTTTTTACCTCAGCAGAAGAATCATTTTTATAGTAATATTATATAAAAAAAACTTGAATTATAACTTTGCTCCCAGACTGGTTGCTTAAGAAACCTTAAAATATCCGCGCCCCTATGGTTAAAATATGTAAACTGTGACTTAATAACCCCCATGCCACTTACGTGCTGTAAAGCTCTTTACACTAATTTCAACTTTTCTTCATTAATGCATGCAATTTTTGTCAGTGCTTTTCGCAATGTAGAATTCACTCATTTTTCTGGCCTTCTTCTTTCTTTTTTTATTGTGATCTGCTACTTGAATTAAGAGGCATAATTACGCGACATTAGCATGATTTGCCAACATTGCCAAGGAAAACCTGCGAAGACTGCTCGACTCAAAATTTTTTTCTATCAGGTACAAATACTTACTTGTTTGACGCGATTGTATTTCTGTCGATACGCGTTGTTTTTCTATCTATATGATAAAAGCGTATGCTTTCATAGCCAAGTTTATCTATCTTTGTTTAGTTGTGCTTTTAGCGCTCTCTACAAATCATGTCTCATATGAATTGCGGTCGTAAATCAAGCCATCACGTCCATTGCGTTCTAATATAGAAAAGTTCCAGTTGACGCGGTTTTAACTTGAAACGTTACTTTCTTTGTGTTGCCGGCATGTTCGTGTGTAAAATTCAAGCTAAAGTATATTTTATGATAGCACGTTGGATTGACTGTAATCCGAAATATGATTAAAAGGAATTAACTCTGTTTATCTCTTTATATAACCGCGCATTAAAATCTGGCTGGCATACAAATTCTAGATATATGCAACGTAAGTAGGCCAACCTACAAGTGGACATGGAGGGGCTTATTTTCGGAATTTTACGGTGTCTCTTTGTATTGTTATTCTGGATTAAAACCAATCGAACTCACCCATTATCAGTACGGAGACAGGTTTCTCTGGTATTAATGGAGCTTCTCAGTGAGTCAATACCTTCATCCGACCGACGTTTACCTTTATATTTTCTTTAATTTTTTTGTTGTGTACACGAAAGCAGACATTACAGTCGCTAACCGGAGCCTACTGATTCTAATAGCCTCAAGATAAAACTCTTCAGTTGACTTTCTTTCCATATTAAAGTTCCCAAGTGAAACTTACTGAACATACCATCAACTTTCTGGTAGTGGGGACTTGCTTTAGTAAACTATAATTGTATAATTCTGCTAACAGCACATTGGGAATAAAGAAATAAGTTAAATGGCTTGGTTGGACTACTTTCTATTTACACAAATCGTTCGGTTGCAAACTTCGTAAAAAAAAAGTAGTCAATTGCAGTTGGCCTTGTAGGAGAAGGATTCGCTATAAAGTATTTTCAAATAAGCTGGAAAGACTGAAAGTACAAGAATAAAATTCATTGCCTCAAATGATGTTTGCAATGGCACGAACCATATAAATTTCCATTTGGTGGGTAACCTAAACCAATTCTCCTGTGACCTCAAGATTCCGGTGACGTTCGAAATGTAGTGTGAAGAAAAGAGATTTGTAATTCAATTAGTTTCATCATGGCTGGTTTTTACTGTTTCCCAATTTTTCCATCGGCCTCTTCTTTTGCGATTACCGCATGTCGAGAAACACTGACATACGTGGTACATGATTAATTTATCTGTGTTTAGATCACCTCTTAGCAAGGTAAGGCAAAGAAGGTAAACGTGTTTGACTTGGATCAACAGTTATATATGTATAATACAAACAAACCATCAGTCGTTGCTGATTAAATATCAGCTAACGCGGGACAAATAAAGTATTTCACTTAAATCTCCAACTCCGTAAGTTTTATTGCAGTTTGAAAGGGAGTTGACGTCAAAGGCGTCAACTTGCTCACATAATATTGTATGCTACTTAGATGTCCTTAACTATAATTAAATGATCTGTACTGATGCTGTCAGCTACGTATGTCTTCGCATGTGTTTCACCATACTAAATATCACTGAGAATAACTATCCGGATGGGCCATCACATGGAAGACCCAATCCTTAAGAAGCGCCAGTCTGGCGTAAATCCCATAATAGTTTGGCTCAGCACAGCTCTTGCCCCAGCTAGTATCTCCCACAAGATACCATTTGCCGTTATCCTCGCACACTAGTGGTCCACCTGAGTCACCCTGGCAAGCATCTATGCCTCCCTCTGGAAACCCTGCGCATAGCATTTCGGGGGTAATCTGGTGTGCTGCATACGAGCCATTCTTGGTACAATTTTGATTCGATACCAAGGGGACCTTGGCCTGCTGGAGTTCGTCTGGTGATGGTCCCCCTGGTTTTAGTGTTCCCCAGCCGGTTATCCAAAATTCAGATCCGGGGGGAAAGCTGATATTGTCGTCGGGAAGACATACCAGACCTACACCGTCTTGAACAATGGCAGGTCGGTCCAAGCGAATAAGGGCAATGTCAAAATTGTAACGGGCCAGGCTGTTGTATTCTTGATGGAAATAGATCTTTTTTATTCCAAAGTCTTGCTCAGAGCCAATCAAAAGTGTGGTATTTTTATAATGCGCACCCATCCTTTGAAAAAGAGAAATAGATCCTATAATCAACATTTGTTTCGAGTCCGGTTACTATCTGAAAAGTTAAATTCCATTATCATATTGTATTTGAAAGTGGCGTTGGAGATACTCCCAAGGGGTCTCTTTGACATCTGAAGGCAATAACTAAGTGGCAGTGGATCGAATCAAAATTTTAACAATGCGTGAAAGTCAGAGTTTATTTTCAAGGATTCTCTGTTGAGAAACGTTTTGAAATTTTACTACCTGACCATATGAGTACCGTAATCTTCTTCTCTGATATCAACTACGCAGTGGGCAGCGGTCAACACCCATTCTAGGGTTACCAGGGATCCTCCGCAAAACTGCTTCCATTCCCCTTTGCTCTTCTGGTACATGAGCATTGCCTGCCACGGCCAAGAGTTTGGAATGGCCACGGTGCCGCCCACAATTCGAGTATGGGGTTTGAATCCACAAGAGTGAACAGCTAGATATAGAAAGAAACGTAATCAAGTCATCACATGAGCAGAACTAAGATCCGGTTCAAACATATTGCTGTTGAGGAAAATCTATTGTTCTTGCTCATTTGCATTAGATTCGGCGCATGCGAAATGCGACGTTTAAACAAGGCCCTTTTAAGGTTCTTTCGCTGAGTAGCATCAGGTTCAAATCTTCTTTCTTTCTTTCAGTCAAACCTTATTAATACGGACACTGTAGGGGTCATGGAAAGTGTCCGTATTAACGGGGTGTCCATATTAAGCGGGTTAAATGTAGGCAAAATGTACGGGCTTTCTTCCCTCAAGGACAAATGAAACTGTCTGTAATAATCAGGTGTCCGTATTAAGCGGGGTTTGACTAGTACTTTAGCTGGGTTTCGTTTAAGTCTCCTAGGTTGACTGAGTTATGTATTGTAAGGCGTGTAGCGGTTCGTGTAAGGTATTAATTAGAAATTTTTCAAAACGTTGAACTTTATGCAGGAAACGTAGAGAATTGAAGTTAATGGATAGGGTGCGTATCGATTGAAACTTCACGTGACTGTTACGTTATATCGAGCAGACTGAAAAGAACTTTAGTCAGCAATGCAACTTACTTGGAGGCGTGGGAATGGGTGTTGGTTGTGGTGAGCTTGGCTGTGCTGAACTTGGGTTTAAGCTACAATTGCTATTCTTGAACACCATCACGTCATCAAGGGCTATATCGCCCATATAGCCCGTGCCAGCCAATCCCTCAAACACGACCTGTGTGTTCAACAACACATTAATTGGTGGAAGTTTCAAGGTTGCCAGTCATAGGTTAGCCTCCCCGCAGACGTCCTTTGGGGTTCGTTTGTCACGCATTCATTTCTCCCCCACGGACGTTTAGCAGACGTCCGTGGGGGAGAAATGAATGCGTTATTATTATTATTATTATTATTATTATTATTATTATTATTATTATTATTATTATTCTATTCCTTTTATATTTTTTTGTTGCCCCATTATTAAATTTTTGTGGCTTAACCAAAGCCAAGGAACTCTCGATATTCAAATAAACAGAAGATACTCTCAACCTTTATTGTGAAAGAGATAAATTGCGCTATAAATACCATGTTCAGGTATCGAAGTATGTCAAAACCTTTCAATTGATGATCTGGCAGCTTCAGTCCTACCCTTTTAATCAGCCATGACAAGTGTCATAAGTAGGTGGGATATCTTCTTTCGAATAAGTAGTTAAGTGCTGATTAGGAGCGTTGTTGACAGTGACTGACGTTTCCACGACCAATGCGGTAGTCATCAAGTTTCTTTGAATCTGAAGATGACTACCGCGCAGATTGTCCTATTCAGTAATACTATTACTTGGAGGATCTCTTTTCACCTACTTATGACATGGGCCTCTAGGTTCAAACCATTACCCAAAGACCTTATTCCCTTTCCTGGTAATGCTCATCATAAATCACACGATAGAAATCTTAGTGGAAACAGAGTCTCAGAGCATGCGTTTGTACAGATAATACTCCCCTTTAAGGTGGCTGAACACTGTTTTGGCAGTTTGTGAGTATATGTCATTTGCCAAATCACGGCAAGAGAAAGGTTTCAGCTCAGAAGCTGAAACTTGGCAGGTGAAAAATTTACTGATGAAAGATTATGATTGACAGGTAAAATTTGACGTTTTCGTGGTTTCCATGGCAATACAAACGATTAAATGCAACCTTAAAATTTCACTTTTCCTCAGCTTACGTAAAATTCGCTCATAAGATTTTCCTATAAACTTGCACACAGCTTACTGTCATTTGAAACTTATTTGACCAAATTTTAACAGACGGGTTATTAGATAACCAATAATATAATTGTACTGTAATTATTAAATGTGTTACAAAATTCGTCTGTTCAACTTCCATTTGAAAGTTCTCATTATTTAAAATGCGATAAAAGTAGAAATTCTGCCAAAGATCACAAAATTTTAATGAGTAGATTTTGAGAGATCTTCTTCTGTGTACCATTGCTTTTTTCACCGCCATGTTCTGACCTGTTCATTTAAATATCATGATATTCACTCGACTTAGCCAATTCCATGCAAGTGTGGCACGAAACTAATAAAAAAGCAAACCCCCCCCACCCCCGCCTCGCTGCTTTTCGCCTCACTTCTCTCTGCGCCGTCCCCTAACTCAGCGTCTGGAACAGGCTAACCTGCAATCTATTTGTAAATTTCGTCCGCCTTTTTTCGCAGCTTGATAGACATTGAGACCTCCGTACCATGCGAATCTTTATTGTGTGTTTCCCCCAAAATGCTGTGCACGAGTGAAAAAGACCACTTGAGCAACGGCTTAAAAATGCTCGATTTTCATTTTCGGTATAGATACATCACCTTTATGGTTGAATCGTTGGGTATGTTTAATGAGACAGAACCAAAATGCCAGTCATTTCCCAGCCTCCCTTGCTTGCGCCAAAGAAGAGTTCTAGAACCGCTATGGGTCTGTGAATATACTGAAAGCTGCCGGATATTGTGGCCATGCATGTGAAAGTAGAAACTTAGACAGTTTCCGTCAGCATTGGAGATCTCGGGACTAATTAAGCGCGCAGCTTCTCGGTTTAAGCGCGGGTAAGATGTCTCGATGTACATATACGATCCTGTTTGGAAAAAAGATAAAAAGCCAACTTTTGTTAATATTGAAAAGGTTAAAATTAATTAAAATTAACGAATAACCCGAAGAATATGGTTTATTTTATAAAATTTAGTAGTTTATTAATTTAACATAAGTACTCGAGAGTTAAATGGCAGAGAAAAAAATTCACAAAACGTAAACTCCATGACATTTACTGGATTCGTCACGCATTCGGGAAGGTCTTCTTTGGTGCAAAAAGGCTGCGCTTGTTATATATATGTTCTATATTTAAGGGAATCCGGAATCCAAGTTTTACTGACAATGAATCGAAGACTGTCTTGAATTACCTTTATTACATGGTTAGAATCCTATGTATGAACAAACATGTTTCCCTGAAATTCCAGGCATAACGTGTGGATTGGCATATCATTTTGCCTGTATTTCTGAAGCCAGTTTCATTTTGAGCTTTTATATGCACTACAAAAAGTGGGCATGTTGATTTACAGTTGACCTGTTCCTGTTGAATGATCTCCCGAGGGTCCAGTGAACGGGCTATTGGTAGACCCAGTGTTGTTGCTCCATTGAAACTCAGCGTTCGGATCATGCTCATATCCGCACAGACCTCCTTCAAAGTCACAAGTGCCTGACGCTGCAAATAAACACTTATTTATTTATTTGTTTGTTTGTTTGTTTATTTATTTATTTATACGTCTTTAGCAAAGCTTCTGTTGGAGTGATTATATAAATCGATTCCCTGTAGAATATTCCCCGAATCAACGAACTAAACCTACAGATTTCGTTTATTCACAATGCACAAGGGGTAGTGGCTTAAAAGTTGTTCACTGGATTAGCACCTAATTATCCTTGTTCCAAAATTGCTTTTTTGGAGTTGACACATCACTGAAGAACAAAATGTCTCTTGTTCTTCCACTTCAGTCCTACTGGATTACTGTTTTGGGACTCCATCGCTTCTTTTATTGGTTGTGCTGTAAACTGGGTCAAAATTTTTCCCCCAAACCAATTCCAAGCGCAAGCTAATCATGGACAATTCTGGTGCGTTGTTTGGATCATCTTTCCCGTTTATGCGGTGGAAGGCACTCTCGCTTAGGGCCTTTGGGGCGTGCTACAAGTAGTTCTTCAATAATGATTTATCAACACGACGCTTAGTGTAAAGCAGGCTCGAAGTCTCACTACCATCCTGGTTAAAACGTTTGGGACGCTTAGTCATTTACATATGATCTATGCATTTTTCTACCAATCCGCCTCCCCCTCCTAGACAGTGTTGGGTGTTACGGGTCAAAAAGGTTTGAAAAATGTTTCAAAATGCATGGACTTCAGCTTTGTTCGGGGGTGGAGGGGGAAACCCAAGCAAAGCCATATTTACAATTGGAATTGTCGGTCACTCGCAAATTCCTCACCAAAAAGAGGAGGGAAAAGGAAGGTGTTGCAAACCCTTTTGGCCGAATTGTAGATTAAGAGGACAGGAGTTATAGCTTTTAATAATCAATATCAGTTTTAATTTAATTTGACTTAATTACGTTCGCCAATTCTTGACAGGGTCACCGCAACAGCGCTTGGCGCCAATTTCTGCTCCACATCACACTGGGGACTAAGTCCCCCAATCTTAGCGAATACTGTGTGGGTTCTTTAACGTCCCACAGAATTAGAATGTGTAAAGGTTGTGAAACGTAACCTACGATTTATCGTCCTTATCCAAAGAAGACTAGAAAGTCTAACCGTTTGTAGATGTTTTTACAAAGGCAGCACTTTTTCTTCAAGTTTTAAAAGGCCCTGAGTATTGTTCAGGCCGGTGTTTGAACCAGCGGCCTCCTGCTCAGCACACCGGCCCTTATCCAAATGAACTAACCAGGTGGCGGTTTTTGTCATTGTAGATTTTGCGTAGTGATGTAGTGCTTTCCAAGTCCTGACTATTTGACCCTGATTAAATCAAGTTTCATTCATTTTGCTCTTATTAATTCATTCATTGATGAATAATTTATGATTCTATACCATTTATAGTTATCAGTTCTAACCGGGTAGATTCCAACTCGGGTAGAAATACCACACGGGAAAGGACAAGGCTGTCTGTAGTATTTTGCTATGTTGGGATATAGTAGTGGTCATAAGCTTGAGTGAGCAATTTCATTTGGGATGGAGAAGGTTCATTACCCTAGAACAACATGACACAAAGCTCTATCAAGAATTAAGTGTGTTATTGAACCAGAAAGTTTGTTTCCTAGCTTAAGCTCGGCAACCTGCACACTTAGGACGATTGTTTCCTTGTTTATGGTTGGTAACAAGCATAGCCTAGAAGAGGGAGTTAAATAAAACTCGTTTGCTAGTAACCGCTTTGTGTTTTTATTGACATCATTGTTAAATTAAGAAAAGTCAATTCGTACAGTTGGATGTTACATGTTGCGTCCGTTTGCAGACTCTGTTGCATGTTGTTGTGTGCTGTTGCGCAAAGTTTGAAACCGGTCATACTTTTAGCCCCGTGCAAACGGACGTAACATTGTTGGCCAGCAACTCCCAACATTTTTGGAAGTTGTTGCGTCCGTTTGCACGTAGCTTTACTGAAACAATGAAGACGAAAATGCACCCAACATCCAAAGTCAAGATCTTAGGCAAGGTACAACTACTTATTGGCGATGTTTTTATTATTATTATTATTATTATTATTATTATTATTATTTGTTTGATTATTTTTGCATTGCTGTTTTTGTCATTCTTAAGGAAGTATTAAGAAAATTGAAATAACATAACAAAGAGTGTGTCCATCTTGAAAAAAGGCCTAGTTAACGAAGAAGGAATTTCTGAAAGCTTTGTGCGAGAGTTGTGAATAGAGAAGCTAAATATGATTTTGATTCTTATCGTTTTTCCACATCAGTGAAAAGACAATACATTTGTTCTCTCAAAAATGCCCTGTAAAATACTTTTCTTTTGGGATTTTACTTTGCAATTGTATTTTTACAACCGTTTTCACCGAAAACGTGCAATGATATAATGCATAAGCAACGTAAAGTATAACACTAGTCATCTGACCCCAGTAAGAAATCGCACAGTAAACAGGGGCCCTTCGCGACTTAAACAGCTGCAAACAAAATCCATAGTTTGCCAACAATGAATAATAGAAAATAATAAAGGTTTGACCTGTATTTTCAGTTTTATTTGTTTTGCTTTTTTAGAAAAATCCCGTTCACGTGTCGCATAATTGGCTCTTTTTATCCCTCAAAGACCTTAAGATTGCTTCGCTCGCGGCATAATCCCCAACAGGGTTCCTGGATACACAAAGGCCTAAGATAACCTAACTTTGGAATCAGAAGGCTAAAAACTGAATACTTGTAAGCTATGAGAAACTTAACAGAAATCAAAAAACTTGCTGATCTTGTTCGAGCGTCACACTTCCAACCAAGATCAACTCTCCGGCAGAGGAAGAGTCTAGTTTATGTGTTTACAATTTGACCGGTCTTTCTAAAAGCATTCTAACCTGAATTAGTACTTATTTTGTGTGTGTGTTTTTGATATTAAAGCTGGATATTTTTCTCAAGTTTCATAATGACCGTCCCTAAGGGGACACTTTCCACTTGTACATGGTTGTACAAGCACAAAGTTTTTGGTACTGAATGAAAGAAAGAAAGAATGAATGAAAGAAAAATTTACCTGCAGTGGCAGTAGAAATAGCTGCGAAGTAAAAAATAAGAAAACCAAAGAGAAGGGAGATTGCCATGACCTCTTCTAAAGATTTATCCAGGGATAACTGAAAAGAGTGCTTTAACGATGACTTGTAGTATTCGGTGTGTTAGCAGCTGTCTTGCGCGCTTGACAGTGAATGATGCCTTTTCATTGTACTCGTGCAGAGAAATAATGCACGGTTTCCACCTGATCAAATCCTTTGACAAAAGGGGAACAATTAATCACACTTTCTTCACTTTGCCAAAATAATGGTTTCGGTGTTTGTTTGGATATGTTGTAAGAATTTTTTTTTTTATCTAAGGGCCTGTTTACATGAAGGTGGGGCACCCCAGGCAGGTGAGGTAATATGTAAACGTGATCACAGTAAAATGAGAGATTGTATGGACAGGCGGGTTACCTCACCTACCTGGGATCCCCCACCTCCATGTAAACAGGCCCTTAGTTAATTTTTATTTTTCCATTATTTTTGGCTATGTGTGTGTAATAAAAACAGTAATAATGAAAAGTAAAAAAGGTAATAATAATATGTATGCTAATAAATTTGAAAAGAAGGAAAACAAAACTTAACCAAAAAAAACTACAACAGATACTTGCATTGTCAACTTCTAGGCTTGAGCTCCTAAATATAAAAAATGTAGGGAAAATAAAATCGATGTTTGCCAACATAATATAATCCTTGGTGAACATCATATTTTCCTTGTCTATGAGCATGGTCATGTATAATAATGGTGTTAAGAAGAAGAAACATTTGCAGCCAAGGATGACATTGAACCTTAACGTAATCATTGCGTTTTATAGATATGATTAGGGAGACTCACTGATAAGCGTCCTCAAGGCACTTGAAGCAGGCTTCAAAAAGACTGCCAAAAAGCCCGTATTGTTGTCCAGGTTAAATACGCCAGAGATAATTAGAAAGATCTGTGGTGCGGGTGAGAACGGAGAGTAAGACAGGGAGCAGACACGAAAATACGTGATGTTCTAACAGTAAGGCTTTCTCAACTAGGAAAATAATGAAATAATGTCAGGAAATAATGTTTGGTGACTTTCTCGATAGCAAACAAACCCTTACAGACAAAAATGTATCTCTTATATTGTCACCAAATTGAATTTTTTTCTAGAGCCGTTAACCCATGATTTTGGCCAGACAAATTTGGAATTTTTTCATCCTTTGTTTTTGGCCTAAAAATGCAAAGAAATAATCTTTGGTGATGTTCCCACTAGAAAACATCCCTTTAAAGAGTATAAAAATTTCCATCTTATCTGGTCGAGGAATTGGATTCACTTTACCCATGATTATTGTATTTTATTTTTTATTTTTTATTTATTTTTTTTATTATTATTATGCCTATTATATTCGTGCTTTGTTTTTGCATAATGTTTGGTGATGTTCTCCATGGAAAATAAGCCTTTCCAGGTTATAAAAATTTTTATTCTACAGTCGTCGATTCAAAAATTGGTTCCAAAGAAGTTAACCTTATCATTTTGGTTAAAAATTTGAAATTTTTCATACTTCTGGGCTAAGAAATTCCATAGAATAAGGTTTGGAGATATTCTCAATAGACACAAGCCTATCTAGCCAAAGACCCTGTTCGCTCTACACAATTTTGTTTCTTTTGCAAAACAATCTGTCACCAGTAAGCCATTTCTAGTTTTCTCCCACCAAACTTTCTCAACTATTACCAAACTTCCGCTGAAAGATACCGTCGAGAACATTTGGAGAAAGGACAAATCCAAGGAAATAATCCTTGATGATGTTTCTGGACTATAAAACCATGCATGGTATATGTGACCCTCGACAGGATTTTAATGCTAAAGGTGAAAGCACGCGCACGACACGCTTTCACTTTAAAACAAAAGAATTTATTTTAACACGCTTTAGCAGGCTTGCAATCTTGCGTCATTAGCAATTTCTTTTGTTTCAGAGGACACGCTTGAGACAATTAAGCGTGAGCAAGTCGAACAAAAGAGTGTGTTAAAGTTTTCAAACAAAAGCTCCGTGCGAAAAAGCACAACACGCTTTCAGTGTGCGCAAAAGCACGCAAGGCGTGTTATCTATAAGCTAAATAAATTTCCTCTACAAAAAGGAACCGTAAGTGATTATGAACGGCACCCTTTTTTGGTAACTATCGAGAAAGAAAAAGTTATATCTCAGCGATCGAAGCGATAGTATCTGATTGAAAAAACGTTGTCGCTTGAAAAGTATAAACAGTGAACGGTGGGACCTACTGGATTTATGGGTAGAACTATATTAGCACTGCAAAATCAAAGTTCTTTGCAGAAATGTTTACTGACGAAGCTGTGCAAGGGTTATCTTAACTTTCCTTAATTTAAAACACATTTGCAGTTTTCTCAGAAACAGTGATCTTTCGGACTTAAGTCACTTTCTTGCCGATCGCAGCAATCGCGATCAAATAGAAATCATCAAGTGCCAGGGTCGCTAAATTGTATTTCTTTTTTAGCGATTGCAAGGATCGTAGTGATCAAATGAAGACCAGCCTGCTTTTCTAGATGTACCAAAATTCCAAAACGGTTTCAATGTTGCTTAATTGATCCGGCCGGCAATAACACAAAAAGCGAAACCGGTATTTAAACAATGTATCCAGATTTGTTCTTCTTGAAATATTACATCGCGTATGCTTCAGTCTTATTGTCCAAATTCCGTAATCATCCTGTTGTCTTTCTTGTGATTGCCGTCTGCTTTACAAGTACAACCATCTAAACAAACATTCGCCTATGAAGTTACGGCGACCGATTTAGCGTCATCAGAAGTATTACGGCCTACAGTTATTTAAGTGTCTTAAATAGTCTGCTACACAGCCGTTTTAGTGTCGTCATAGCAGACTATTATTTAAGCGGCGCGAAAATAATTTTTTATTATGTCGCGCTAGTTTACTGCGTCTTTCAAATGCCTATTCTGATGCACGAGTGGATTTTTCACCCTCCTGAAACTTGGTAGTGCCTTGAGGACTAAATTAAAACAAAGAGGAATTTAAGATAAGACATAAAAAAACAGTCGCTTTTATATTTACAACCAATCCTCCCCCATTCTACAGTGTTTTTAGTTTACAGATTCTTGTTTTTTTCGTCCTGTGAAGAACGAGATATAGTACACGTTTACAGCGCTTGATTCGTCTTAGCATAGCACAACGAGATATCTTCACATAAATTATGATTGATAGCCCTTCTTTCGTCAGGGGCACCTGACGGCGATTTCCTCCTAAATGCATCCTAGCATCCTAGGACAACTTCAGTCGTTTCGAAATTACAAGGGCTTCAACATTATTTCCCGAAAAAGTTAGCTTCCAATTGGAAGTTTTAGGAAAGTGAGAATTTTATCGTATTTTCGGTTCCGAAAATTTTAGGATTCCTTAATTCTCTACGAAAAATAGCTTAACTTGGGGAGTGAAATGGAAAAAATTTAAACTTCAGAAAATCGTAAGGAATTTATTAGATAAGCTTCGAAAATTGTACATGCATTAGATAAGCTTCGAAAATTGTACATGCATGGAACGGTCAGGCATGTTATTTAGCCACTAAATAGGAGATTTTCCAAAGTAGTTAACCAATTTTTAGCCAAAAATTTATTGAATTAAAATTTATTTAAATAATAACTGGTGATATTCTCGATAGAAAAAATAGCCTTTCTAGTCAATGAAAAAGTGTATGTAATATAGTCACCAAACTGGAGATTTTCAAAAGGTGTTGACCCAAGACTGGCCAAAAATTTAATAAATTTTTTATGTTTCATTTTTGACGTTAAAATGCGATGAAATAATATTTGGTGATGCTGTCGATAAGAAAAAAACTCCTCTCTACACTATAAAAAAGGCATGTTATATAGTCACTAAATTGGAGATTTTCCAAAAGAGTTAACCCATGATTTTTACCCCAAAAAAACCTTTTTTCTTCGTTTTAGACTTTAAAATGCAATAAAATGATGTTTGTTGATGGTGTCGATGAGAAACGATCCTTTCTAGAATATTCAAAAAGAATGTTTTATAGACACTAAATTGGAGATTTTCCAAAGGGGTTAACCCACGACATTCGCCAAAAATGTGAATTTTTTTCATGCTTCGTTTTAGACTTTAAAATGCAAAGAAATAATGTTTGGTGATATCCTCGACAGAAAACAATCCTTCCTAGACTATAAAGACGGGCATGTTATATAGTCAATAAATTGGGGATTTTCCAAAGAAATTTGAAAATGTTTCATACTTCGTGTTAAGTGTGAATGAAAATGTTTCTTAATGTTCGCGATAGAAAACAAGCCTTTCTAGACTATAAAAACGTGCCTGTTATACAGTCACCAAAATGGAGATTTTCCAAAGGGGTTGAACGATGAATTTGGCCAAATATATGAAATTTTTCATACTTCGTTTTAGATAATAAAATCGAATGAAATAATGTTTCATAATTTTGTCGATAAGAAACAATCCTTTGTAGACTATAAAGACATGCATGTTATATAGTCACTAAATTAGGGATTTTCCAAAAGAGTTAATTTATGATTTTGGTTGAAAAATCTGAAAACTGCATTTTAGCCTTTAAAATGCAAAGAAATAGTGTCTGGTTTTCTTCTTGACAGAAAACAATCGTTTATAGACTATAAAAAAACATGCGTGTTATGTAGCCAGTAAATTGGAGATTTTCCAAAGGGGTAAACATTTGATTTTTGCCTGAAATATAACATATTTAATACTTCGCTTTAGACTTGAAAACCATTGAAATAGTGATCTTTCAACGTTTTGGGATCTTGTCGATAAGAAATAATCATTTCTATTCTATAAAAACATGCCTGTTATATAGTCACTAAAAGTTAAAAGGTTAAATCATGTGTTAAGCCAAAAGTTTGATATTTTTTTCATACTTTGTTTTAGACTTTAAAACACATTGAAATAGTGATTGTTGATGTTCTCGATAAAAAATAATCCTTTAAAACATGCATTTTATATAGTCACTAATCCGGAGATTTTCCGAAGGGATCAACCCATGATTTTGGCCAAAAACATAAAATGTTTTCCTACTTCGTTTTAGACTTTAAAAGTCTTTGAAACAATTTTTGGTGATGTTGTCGATAGAAAACAATCGTTTCTAGACTATAAAAACGTGCACGTTACATAGTCACTAAATTGGAGATTTTCCAAAGAAGTTTCCAAAAAAAATTAAATGTTTTTAAAATTTGTTTTCAAATTTTGAACACATTAAAATAATGTTTCGTGATGTTCTCGATAGAAACAATCCTTTCTAGACTCGAAAAAAATGCATGGTTCATGGTCTCTGAATTGTAGTTGTTCCACAGGGATTAAACCGTGATTTTAGCAAAACATATAAAATTTATGCATACTTCGTTTGAAACATTAACATACTACCCAACAATGTTTCCTGGTGATCTGACGATAGAAAACATTCCTTTCTAGACTATAAAAACAAGCGTGTTATATAGTCACTAAATTGGAGATTTTCCAAAGGGTTTAACCAATGATTTTGGCCAAAAATTTGAAATTTGTTAATTCTTTGATTTAGACTTTAAAATACATTTAAATAATGTTTGGTGATGTTCTCGAGAGTAAAGATCCTTTCTTGACTCGAAAGGCATGCATGGTATCTAGTCAGCACATTGGAGATTTTCCAAAGGCATGCATGGTATCTAGTCAGTAGATTGGAGATTTTCCAAAGGCGTTACCCATGATTTTGGCCAAACGCGAATTTTTTTTTTATATTTCGTTTTAAACTTTCAAACGCATTTGAAATAATATTTGGTGAGGCTCTCGAGAGAAAACAATCCTTTCTAGATTAAAAAAACATGCATGTTATATCGTCCTTTAATTGAGGATATTCCAACCCATGATTCTGGCCAAAAATATGAAATCTTTTCATACTTTGTTTTAGACTTTAAAACACATTGAAATAAAGTTAAGTGATATTCTCGAGAGAAACCGATCCTTTCTATACTAGAAAAGCATGCGTGGTAAAGAGTCATTAATTTAAAGATTTTTGAACGGGGTTAACCCATGATTTTGCTCAAAAATATGAAATTTTTCAATACTTTGTCTTATACTTTAAAACACATTGAAATAATGTTTGGTGGTGTTATATAGTCACTAAACGGGAGATTTTCCCATAATTTTGGCCAAAAATATGAAATTTTTTTTCTACATTGTTTTAGACATTAAATCACATTGAAACAATTTTTGGTTATGTTCTCGAGAGAAAACGATCCTCTCTTGCCTCGAAAAGCATGAATGGTATATAGTCATTAAATTGGAGATTTTCCAAATGGGTTACCTCATGATTTTGTCTAAAAATATGAAATTTTTTAATGCTTTGTTTTAGACTTTAAAACACATTTAAATTATGTTTGGCGATGTTTTGCGGAGAAAACAATCCTTTGTACACTTAAAAAAATTAATGTTATATAGTAACTAAACGGGAGATTTTCCAAAGGGGTTAACCCATAATTTTGGCCAAAAATATGACAATTGTTTTATAGTTTGTTTTAAACTTTAAAACACATTGAAATAATGTTTGGTGATGTTCTTGAGAGAAAACGGTCCTTTCTTGACTCGAAAAGCATGCGTGGTATCTACTCAGTAAATTGGAGATTTTCCAGAGGGGTTAACCCATGATTTTGGCCAAACCTGTGAAATTTTTTTCGTTCGTTTAATCTTTAAGATACATTGAAATAATATTTCGTAAGGTTCTCGAGAGAAAACAATCCTTTCTGGACTAAAAAACGTGCATGTTATATCGTCCCTTAATTGAGGATATTCCAAGCCATGACTGTGGCCAAAAATATGAAATCTTTTCATACTTCGTTCTAGACTCTTAAACACATTGAAATAATGTTTCGTAATGTTCTAGAGAGAAAACTGTGCTTTCTAAACTCGAAAAGCATGCATAGTATGTAGTCATTAAATTGGGGATTTTCCAAAGGGGTTAACGCATGATTTTGGGCAAAAATATGAAATTTGTTAATACTTTGATTTAGACTTTAAAACACAGTTAAATAATGTTTCGCGATGTTCTCCAGTAAAAAAAAAACAATCCTTTCTAGACTCAGAAAACATGCATGTTATATTTTCACTAATCGGAGGATTTTCCAACGGGGTTAATCCATAATTTTGGCCAAAAATATAAAAAAGTTTTCCTACTTCGTTTTATACTTTAAAACACATTAAACTGATGTTTGGTGATTTTCTCGAGAGAAAAGGATCGTTTCTTTACTTGAAAAGCATGCATGGTATCTAGTCAGAAAATTGGAGTTTTTCCAAAGCGGTTAACCCATGATTTTGGCTAAACTTGTAAAAAAAGATTTATCCCTCGTTTTAAACTGTCAAACACGTTGAAAAAATGTTTCGTGAGGTTCTCCAGAGAAAACAATACTTTCTAGCCTCGAAAATCATTCATGTTGTATCTTCCCTTAATTGAGGATATTCCAAACCATGTTTGTTGACAAAAATATGAAATCTTTTCATACTTCGTTTTAGACTTAAAAACACATTGAAATAACGTATGGTGATGTTCTGGAGAGAAAACGATCCTTTCTAGACTCGAAAAGCATGCATGATCTCTAGTCAGTAAATTGGAGATTTTCCAAAGGGGTTAACTTATGATTTTAACCAAACATGTGAAATGTTTATTTATAGTTCGTTCAAGACTCTAAAACACATTAAAATAATGATTTGTAATGTTCTAGAGAGAAAACTATCCTTTCTAGACTCGAAAACCATGCATGATATATAGTCATTAAATTGGAGATTTTCCAAGAGGGTTAACCCATGATTTTGGCCCAAAATATCAAATTTTTTAATGCTTTGTTTTTTACTTTAAAACACATTTAAACAATGTTTTGCGCTGTTCTCCTAAAAAAGCAATCCTTTCTAGACTCAAACAAACATGCATGTCATATAGTTAGTAACCGGGAGATTTTCCAGAGGGGTTAACCCATAATTTTGGCCAAAAATGTAAAACTTTTTTTATACTTCGTTTTAAACTTTAAAACACATTGAAATAATGTTGGGTGTTGTTCTCGAAAGAAAACGATCCTTTCTATACTTGCAAAGTATCCATGGTATAGAGTCATTAAATTAGAGATTTTTCAAAGGGGTTAACTCATGATCTTAGGCAAACATATAATTTTTTTCAGTACTGTCTTTTAGGCTTTTAGACACATTAAAATAATGTCTAGTAATGTTTTTGAGAGAAAACGATCCTTTCTAGACTAAAAGAAAATGCGTTTTATATACTCACTAAACGGAAGATTTTCCAAAGGGGTTAACCCATAATTTTGGAAAAAAAATATAATTTTTTTTTAATACTTTGTTTTAAACTTTAATACACATTGAAATAATGTTTAGTGATGTTCTCGACAGAAAACGATCCTTTCTTGACTTGAAAAGCATGCATGGTATCTAGTCAGTAAATTGGAGATTTTCCAAAGGGTTAACTCATGATTTTGCCCAAAAATATGAAATTTGTTAATACTTTGATTTAGAGTTCAAAACACATTTGAATAATGTTTTGCGATGTTCTCCAGAAAAAAAAACAATCCTTTCTAGACTCAAAAAACATATGTTATATAGTCACTAACCAGGACATTTTCCAAAGGGGTTAACCCATAATTTTTCAATACTTTGTCTTAAACTTTAAAACACACTAAAATAATGTTCGGTGATGTTCTCGAGACGAAACGATCCTTTCTAGACTCGAAAAGCATGCATAGTATATAGTCATTAAATTAAGAATTTCCCAAAGGGATTAACCCATGATTTTGGCTAAAAATATGAAATTTTTAGTGCTTTGTTTTATACTTTAAAACACATTTAAATAATTTTTGGCGATGTTCTCCGGAGAAAACAATCCTTTCTACACTCAAAAAACATGCATGTTATATAGTCACTAATCGGGAGAATTTCCAAAGGGGTTAACCCATAATTTTGGCCAAAAATAGGAAAATTGTTTTATAGTTTGTTTTTAAATTTAAAAAACATTGAAATAATGTTTGGTGATGTTCTCGAGAAGCATGCATGGTTTCTAGTCAGTAAATTGGAGATTTTCCTAAGGGTTTAACCCATGATTTTGGCTAAAAATATGAAATTTTTAAATTCTTTGTTTTATACTTTAAAACACATTTAAATAATGTTTAGAGACGTTCTCCGGAGAAAACAGTCCTTTCTAGACTCAAAAAACATGCATGTTATGTAGTCACTAACCGGGAGATTTTCCAAAGGGGTTAACCCATAATTTCCGCCAAAAATATGAAAATTAAAACACGTTTAAATACTGTTTTGCGATGATCTCCAGAAAAAAACAATCCTTTTTAGACTTAAAAAACATACATACTCGAAAGGCATGCATGGTATCTAGTCAGTAAATTGGAGATTTTCGGAAGGGGTTAACCCATGATTCTGGCCAAACCGGTGAAATTTTTTTATAGTTTGCTTTGACTTTTAAGACATTTTGAAATAAGATTTTGTGAGGTTCTCGAAAGAAAACAATCCTTTCTAGACTAAAAAAACATCCTTGTTATATCGTCCCTTAAAAGAAGATATTCCAACCCATGATTGTGGCCAAAAATATGAAATCATTTCATATTCCGTTCTAGACTCTAAAACACATTGAAATAATATTTTGTAATATTCTAGAGAGAAAACTATCCTTTCTACACTCGAAAAGCATGCATGGTATATAGTCATTAAATTGGAGATTTTCCAAAGGGGTTAACTCATGATTTTAGCCAAAAATATGCAATTTGTTAATACTATGATTTAGACTTTAAAACACAGTTAAATAATGTTTTGCGATGTTCTCCAGAAAAAAAAAAACAATCCTTTCTAGACTCAGAAAACATAGATGTTATATATTCACTAATCGGGAGATTTTCCAAAGTTGTTAATCCATAATTTTGACCAAAAATATGAAAAGTTTTTTCTCTTTTGTTTTAAACCTTAAAACACATTAAAATAATATTCGGTGACGTCCTCGAGAGAAAAGGATCGTTTCCTGCCTTGAACAGCATGCATAGTAGATAGTAATTAAATTGGAGATTTTCCAAAGGGGTTGACCCATGATTTTGGCCAAAAATATGAAGTTTCTTTCTTTAAAACACATTGCAATGAAATAATGTTTGATGATGTTATCGATTGAAAACAAACCTTTCTAGACTATTAAAACATGAATATTATATAATCAGAACACTGGAGATTTTTCAAATGATTTTCCTTAACTGCCTTTTAGAAACTTTAAACTACGCTGAAATAATGTTTTGTGATGTTTTTGATAAATACAAGCCTTTCTATACCGTAGAAACGTACATGTTATACAGTCTTTAATTTGGTGTTTTTCTAAAGCGTCAACCTATGAATTTTGGCCATGTTTACCAAAGTGGGTATTTTCCGAAGGGGTAACTCATTTTCTTCTTCTTTTTTATGCTTCGTTGAGGCTTAAACATGGAATGAAATAATAATTATTTTGTTATTTTCCGGATAGAAAGCCTGTACAAGAAAATCGTCCATCTTATGTAGTCACGAAATCGGAAAGATAGCGAAGTACGTTGAGTAATATTTAGAGAGCGAGAAGTAAGCCATATCGTGTTGTTTGGCCCTCTCTTCCCACTAATTCTCGGTGTTTTTTCCTTTGGTACCTTCCCCATTATTTAAACGTCATGAAAAAGCTATTTGCTTTGTTTTTTGCCTTATCTTTTACTGAGTTTTTTTGTTGTTGTTCTACTCTTTCATTTAACTATTTTTTTTTATGTTTATTATTTTCCGCGAGATCCTGAAAAAAATTTTTTTTTCCCCCAATAACTAGTCCCATTACAGCGCGCGTGCTGACGTCTAATTTAAGCGCCATTTTGACGTTGAAATCAAGACTGCATAAAAAAGTGTTCCCAGTCACATGGCAAGCAGCTGTGCGAATGGACCATTTTCGATATATTAAAATTCAAAATGAAATAAAACAAAAGAATGTATTATTCATCGCTGAGCCTCAGATAATTTGTTTTGTTTTATTTCCCCAAGCCTAGCGTATCTGAGGACACAAAAGTTTCACTCAGAAGCCATTATTTCAAGTGGTTTTGATACAGAATTACAGTACACAAGACTTTTTCACAATTTTTTTTTATTGAATGCTAATAGGCAGGTCAGAAAAAAAGTTACAATGTCGAAAGAACGAAGAAATAGAAAACATGTGATGATCTACATCCGAACTTCTTGTTAGACCTTATCGCATCAATTAAAGGGAGTAACTATTTTACGGTCTTTGTAGACCAAGAAAAATTTCAGAGCACGATTGACTCATTAGCCACTGTCGACAAAGTAGGCAATGCAAGAATTAATAAACATCATGTTCAATAAATTAAAATATCTTCTGTATAATTAATTTGATAGAATCTCTCGTATAAACTGAAGAGTCCTCAGATACCGTTCATCTGTTTGGCTACTGGGCTTGCAAACATCCACATGGTCTACATCCAGGGGTACAAATTCCCCTACACCCAGATCTGTAAAGAGCGACAAACAAAATCAATAGACAAAAAAGCGCTCCGGCTCCCTCGTGATTGTGATTTGCTTTTTGACACCGGTGTGTGAAAATTTAGACCGGTAATAATGTATAATTATGGTTAATAGCCGAACCATAAACATGACAAGAGGATAGGGATATTAACACGTAACTGCTGGGTAAAAGGGTAATCAAATCCTCTAGCCATCTATGTTTATAACCGATGCGTAGCGTTACTTCTTCTTCAATGACAAATGCAATCAAATTTGCGCGTTTGCTGTAGATACTTTTTCTTTTCAAAAAGAGACTAACACAAGATGATTGACGCCAGTTTCATTGACTAATGGGAAATAATGGATACATAGATAGATGCAAGGAAAAAATGAACTAATGGGCGCAAGATTTGATGCTTGAGTGGAAGGACACACGAAAACGAAAACAAACATCCAAAGACGAATCAAGCAAGCAAGATGGCTCTATTCTTGGATGACTTAATAATTGAAAATGGATTTTTAATTAACGTCTAAACAAAACGCATCAAGACTGGTTGTCACTGGGTACAATAGACACCTTAAGCATCAGGTTTTTGTGGTTAACGGCAAACGGAAAACTTAAGGATGTCACGTGACCATGGTGTTGCGATCATGCTTGCGGTTTGCAGTTCACGTTTGAACGCTAGGAAGGGCTTCCAGCGGTAAGTGATGTAAGACAAGAATTTTTTGCCATTATGAATTGCACAGCCTCACCTTTAAAGGCAAGAAATAGGTTTCTACATCCACCTGAGATGTGCTACTTAAAATTTGAATTCGAATCAATGAACTCTTCATGTTTTTTAGGCGATCAGAGTGAAGCTCTTCCAATTGACGAAAAAAAAAACGTGGCGGCACTAAACAACGAACGTTTTGCTAAAATTCAAAATTTGAACAAAATTTTGAAATCTGCAAGCGCGTAACTGCAAAGTGCAGTCTACCGTTTGCGGTTTCCCAAGAAGAAACCTGACGCTAAAGGTCTGTAATATCTGACGCCGGTTAGTGATGGCCACTCACCTGCAGAATCATTGGTGACAAGCACCGTTTGGAACATCCACGTGAGCTGCATTGGTACAGTCTCTCCATAACTGAGTAGCCTTATAGGGTGGCGTTTTACCAAGTCCAGAAAATTCTCATGAAGTCGAGCCAGGAAAGGCGATTCTGTTACGAAAAGAAGCATAAAAAGTATAGCCTAAGCATAGATAGTATACTGTATACTCCTCTAACCTAGAACCTTTTAATGAAAATTGTTCAAGAAGATGGCTCCAAGGCAGTCAAGGAATAACTGTACCTGGACAGCATTAGATGAGGTAATTGTTCGCTATTAGTACCAAATTGCGAGGCAAACCAACAGTTTGTGTCCGCTAACACTGTCCGCAGTTCTCAATTTAGTACCGCTTCAATCGCTTCTTTTTGACACACACAATGAAATTCCTACTGTTTCTAAGAAGGTTGCAGATGATGCCATCACAACGAGGTTATACAAAAGAATGAAAAGAAACTAGGTAACATCCACATTACGACAGAAAAGCTAAGGGTAATGGTTCATGAAGACTAAAAGCACCCCGCCAAAAAAGCCTACAGAATAAATGTTAATCACTTAATCAACCCCCATATCACTTAATCAGCGAGAAAATTAGTTGCGACACCTTAACGACGGTTCTCCCGTTTTACCGACATATGAACCTACTTCAAAGCGAAAAATGCGAGCTTTCCTCTTACCCAACAACCCCTAAACAATACTATAACGCTTCTTACCTGTAGGAAACAATAAACAAGTCTACATTGGTAAGGTTGTGAGGGCGGGGCCCCGATTGTCTTGTTTTCCGTATAATACCCCATCTAACGACAGTACCAAGACAATTTGTCCCCGAAAGTAGCAATCTTTTGCATTCATCGAAGAGGGAAACAACAAAAAGAACCACTTACTTTGGCACAATTCTTTTACTTCTACTGATGGGAGGATCAGGTGACGGGCCTGGGATGAGTAAGAGGCTAAGGCTGAGCCCAAGTGCGGTGTACTGTAAAACACGACACCTTTCGTGTTGTCGTACATGCAACTATAAACAGTTAAAGTCTAATTCATCAGTGAGAAAAACAAAAACAAAATAGAAAGAAAGGCGTTGAAAAGAAAAAAGAAGTAGCCAAGAAATTATTGAGGACATATTACCGAAACTCGTCGTTCCTCTCTGCATCCAAAAGTAATTGCTTTACTAGCAGACCTAAAGATGATGTGCATCAAATATGAGAAAGGTGAAGGAACCATCTGGTTGCAATCACTATTAAAAGAGAGGTCGTTACTTGAAAATCTTAATTGACGAGAGATGGCTTTTTACCAGTTTTCGAAACGAAGCTAGTGAATTTGAACTACTTTATCTGGATCCGATTCCATTCTTTACCGCAGAAACGTTATCGGCCTTTATAGGACGCACAAACGAACATGAGGTGTAAACCTATTTTATTGATCTCTTAAATACAATAAAAGTATGCATAGAAAAGTCAAAGTCTTCCTGTTTGGGAATCCTTGAATCCTGTGTCACGAAATTTATCAAAATTCAAACAGTAAGATTGAGTTAAACATAAAAATGACTACTCAAAACGATAAAACCAGGTGTAAACAACACCGCAAATACAAAAGGAGACACGGATGGACAAACTTGAAGAGGATTGAAACGGATTGCAATTGTGGTTTTCAAAAACTTGTTAGCCTAACAGTTTTTTTTAAATTCATTTGTTGTTTGCAATGTTTGAAATATATTTTGGGGGGACATATTTGTTTGACACAAAGCTGTGATTTTGTCATTCACAAGTAATTTCTCAATTTCATAGCGAATAAGGACGTGTTATTGGCATCATAAAAAAAATGATCCAGTCAGGGTGACACAGCCCCTTTAAGTTACTGCCAACAGTGAATGAGCTTTTGCGCTCGAAATAGGCCGAATAAATTATTTACTTCGTTCAGCAGGGGTAAGGGGAATGCACGTTTACTTTAAGCGGTGATTGTTTCATTTCTCTTTTAAGCTGAATGTACTATATTTGGATCTGGTTTTACTATGGAGAATCTCCATGATTGCCACGCCCGCCACCGGAGGGAAGAAAACTCGCTGACTTTGACACGATTTTTCCTCAAATTGTATTGATATATTTTCCTGCTTTCTACAAGTCATTGGTGTCGTTCTCATCATTTTCAATCCGTTCAAGTTTTCACGGAAAAGAGTAAGAGAATGCGATTGACTAAAAGTAATGTCTTTTATCTTCACGAAAACCTTACCTCCCATGGAATGCACCACCCATATAACAGGCCTTTTACCCACTCCTGCCTTTCGTAACTTGCGTCTTATTTCCTCGCTTCGATACATCAAGGACCGACTAACAAGGGAATGTCATAAAGCCTATGATGAGTTGTCGATCTAATCATCATTGTCTAGGGATAAGGCGTCTTTTTTGTTTGCCTCATGTAAATGGGTGTAAAAGGGAATTTACACAGGACGCACCTACTCAAACCTGTGCTTGAAAGCACCAAAACACTTAATCAAAGCTTCATGACACAGTTTCAGATTTATCAAGTTACGCCAGTAGTGACTGGTACAGCCGTGATAAGCACTGAAGGACCCGCCGCCATTTTGTCTCGTTTGTCCCTATTACTAGGATCTTCCTAGCGAAGGCTGCTTAAATGGTGCGAGGATCTTCCTAGTACTAGGATCTTCCTACCCCTCAGCTAGGAAGATTCTAGCGCTAGGGACAAGTTCAACCCTTTAAATGAACACCGAATACAGAAAACATATGACGCTAGGATGATCCGCCCTCTAGGATCTTCCTTGTGGTACAATCTTCCTCCCTCCAAGTAAACAGCCCCTAAATTAATGCTAAAAAAATGACCTCAATTGATGCAAGAAAAAAATTATTTAGAGAATGGAGGTGAGACACTAGCAGTTGTACGCGCAAGCCAAGCATCAACAAGTGAACTTAAACTTACGTCTCAGGTTCCTGAGGACATTGGGAAACCCAATGTGAGAGTGAAGTGTCATACTCAACCATAAGGACACGGATGTTAGGAATATCACGTACCAGCCATGACTACAAGAGAACAGAAGCACGTTTCACGTAGAGGATACGCTTACGCGCACAAATGCCCTCGAATTTACACATCAGTAGGATTTTAGGCCCTTTTCAGCCAGTCTTCGCGTGGTACAAACCGTCATACCAGAGAGCAAGAGAGGCACTTGGAGAAGACAACAAACGACAAAAGAGATTACCATTTTAAATGATGTAAGCTGTTTGTTTATCTTGTCCCAGTGCGTCTCTTGCTCTCTAGCATGGGGATTTTGTACCCCGTGAAATGCGAAGCACCTAATACAAGATTATATGGCCTATTCCGCGAGCAGGCACGTAGAAGCGATGATGCGTTCTGATAGGCTAACCGAGCGCTCAGAATTCTCGGCTTTGTCCCGCAAAAACAGATTTTGTTTTGGCCATATCTTAAATCCAAAACTGTTTGGTATTGGCCTCGTTTATTTATTTACCTCGACGTCTTTTAATTCTCTGTCGATAAAAACGCCAAAAAAAGCGATCTTGACCTCACGCTTGGTCAACAACGCAATATTTATCTAATAATTAACAATTATTGGATGAGGCTGAGTATCATCTGAAGAATTTATATGGAGAAGGAGGCTGTTAAATCGGCCTCGGCGATAACATCCCCCGAGATCCACATAATTCTTCTGATGATACGAAAGCCGAATTCAATAGTTATTTTATTATTCATTCAAAATAATTCCTAGTTTAAAAACAAGCTAAACCATGCTTACCTCCATCGATGTTAAGTTCATCTTCAATTGCCTATTTATCGGCAAGTTTAGGAGAAAAAGGGTTGTTCAGTTCTGCAAATATTCTCCTAATAGCAGATGTCGTCCCCCAAGTTGTATTATTAATGTTGTTGCTATCGCGAAACGAGTGAAATGTTCCGCCATTTTGTACTCACTACCAAAAACAACCCAACCTCGTCCCCAGGTCTTCTCGGTTAACTGTCCAGTATTCTGGCAATTATGCTGTAAAATTGACGTCATTTTTCAAACATCGCATACTTCTTCCAAATTTGGTCAACTGTAGCTGGTGATGATGAATTATTCGTGTGATTGTAGCCAATCAGATTCGGAGAAATATTTTGAACAAGAACGCTCTTAAAAGTCTCGATTGCTGGGAGATTAGATAAGAAATGATGAGGCGATTAATTCTACACGAAACAGGATCTCCTCGCTAAAAGTTTTTCACTTCCTACTTTATCGATGGTCGGGTATTCCTCAGGATATTTACTTTTCATATCGTATTCGACGATTTGTTTCTGAATTGATTAAGTACGTGTGCGTAAATACACAAAAATCAAGGGCCTGGATTTGAGAGAAATTACATCATTGCCAAAGAGCAGAAACGAAATTAACATGGCACGTGATTTCAATCATCACCGAAAATAAACGGCATGCTCATTACAAGACATATTTGCGTCCAATGAACGTTTACGAGACCCGACCAGTTAGCCTCGCCGTCGAAGTATTGCATTAAGATTCTTATTTTTTCCGGCAACTGAAGTAATCACTTCTTCCAAAGTAATCAACGCTTTCAAGCGATAGAATTCGTGGACTGACCCGTTCCGGAAAGGCTCAGCATCTTTCGCCTTAATCTTTTCTAGGCTTTCTATGCATGACTTTTGTCACGCCGCCATTCTTATTCCCACTTCCCATGGTCTCCGCTAAGAACTCCTGGGGCCATGACTCCCTATTTGGCGCGCGCACACGAAAACAAAAGAAGAAACGCTTGTATTTTCAGAGTTTCGCAGCTAAAGGAAGAGACTAACGAATCATACTTGCTGTTATGAAATTTTTTGCTTACGTGTTTGTAAGTTGCAAGATATGTTACGTCTCACAGTTTTACAAGCAAATACCTTAGGCCAGCAGTCTGTACCGTCTTTCTTCGCAGCCTTCTTTTCCTGCTGCCTCCAAGTCATGAAAGGACCTCCACGGAGCCCGTGGACAAAGATGACGTCAGCAGCAATCCTAGAGCTGAGGGAAGAACGAGAACTTAGCCTTTCCTCACTTGTATATTTTACTTGTTTAGTACACGTTTTAGACAAGAGACCTAACATCTTATCTTTTGCCAGCTCAAAATGCAGACCCCATTCCAGACCAGTAAGAAAAGCATTTCTCAATTCAGACACCAAATTTAAACTCTTCACCCCACACTTTGGCAATTTCGATCCCAGAACCCATGTGACTTCAATAATCAATCAAACCCTCTTAAGAGGAAGAAATACGTCTCTTTAAGTCTGAATTGTAGCTCCGTGGGATTGTAACAAAAGTATTCTACTTACGAGTACCGTCCCTCGGGATGAAGAAGGTAAACACCGTCCTCGTAACACTCATCCTTACAAAAGTCTCGATCAAGATTCGCCAGGGTTCGGACAGCGTGACTGAAAAGAGCCAAGTCCTACAAAAAATGTCTTGCGGTCATTTATCTCACATTTCTTAGGTTTTCCGCTTACCACCACAGGGTGTAAAAATATAGATTGAAGTCTTGAAACTTCAAATTGATTAAGAAATTTGGCAAATGTTTGGGAGAAACGGACGGGGACATTGCTAAACGCGATTGCGTCCGCCCGCCAACAACTCCCAAGCCCCATTGTTGGATGGAACCTATCGCGTCCGTTTGACGTACGCCCGTGCACTCTCTGGGATGGGGGGGTAATGTTGTTGCGCAAAGTAGGGAAACCGGTCAAAGCCGTTGCTTTTCGTTTTAGTGCAAAATTAACCATTTTAGGGGAACCAACGGAGTTGGTCGAGTAAAAATCTAGATTAAAGTTTATTGTCTTCGACTGTGGCTACAATGGAGGTCAAAAGTGTTGGGCAACTAAAATGTTGGATCAAACAAAGTTGAATTTGAGCGAAATGGGTGAAAATGAGTGCTCTTCCGAACAAAACATTGTCCTTAGGGTTTACAAAAGGCTTTTCACACAGTCCCAAGTTTTTTTCCTTTTGCAAACGGACGCAACATTGTTGGCCAACAACTCCCAACATTATTGGATGTTACATGTTGCGTCCGTTTGCAACATTGTTGGGATGTTGTTGCGCAAAGTTTGAAACCGATCAAACTTTTCAGCCAACACGCTTTTGTTGCCTGATCGCCGAGACGTAGCCAACAACATTGTTGGTTGCAACAAATTGTTGGGAGTTGTTGCATCCGTTTGCCAACACGGGCGCAAACTTCCAACATTGTTCAAAATTTTCGCCTAACTTTACTTCAAAATTTTCGGAAATAAATTTCTAAGACCTTGCTTTTTGCTTGGTCAAACGACCTAGTCTTCCCAACTGTAAATTCATGCGTGAAATCTTATGCAGCGTCTACATTTATTATCCGTGCAGACGGAAGGCCGATCAGTGCAAAAACGTATGTGGTTTCAAAAATATCCGGATTCGTGGGGACAAAGCCTAAGTTCCCCCTGCGACTTTTCAACTTACATCAGAGTACAGCCACGAACGTAGAAGCGGTAAGCAACCTACAAAATAGAAGGACAAAGGTGTGTTAACTTAAGATTGAAGCAAAAAGCCGACTTTTTGTGATGCGAAATAAACTTATGGTTTTGATAAACGGTAAGAGAACACACCCGTCTTAAGCGAAAATTAGGACGCTTAGGATTATGAAATTCTAGTTCTCAAACAGATCAAGTTCCCGTGACTTAAAAAGTAGTCCGCATGGCGACAGCTGCCGGAAGTGAAAAATATATTTTCGATCGTTACTGCGCTCGTTTTCGCAGTTAATTTTAACTAGTCGTTTTAGAGCATTGACTAAGCAACCAACCTTGTTCCACCATGCCGTCGTGGGCACTTTCCTCCAGAGCCAGGTTACCAAGTAACATACCGATTTCTCGTTTGATTCTCAGGCTGTGAAAGCGGTGCTTAATTTCACGGAATATCACATCTAAAACTCCATTTTCCACCATTAAAGAGCGATGGCTTGGGACCTGCAATGATAATATTGACTAAATTGCTATTTTGGGAAAATGAATTTTGCGACAAGTTGTGATGAAACGAAAGTACACTGCCCGCCTTTTGATCACTCTCCCGAGACGAGTGACCACCTCGTTGACTGATTCACCTATTCGCTTTGACAAGGCTAACCCAACCACTCTAAATAATGTCCCGGACAAAATCCTTAGATTTAGATTTTTTCCCCGCTGGGGACCTTTCGCGCGGAGGAACGTCTGCGACTCAGGGGCAGAAATTCCTTACTGATGAGGCAAATTAATGATTACATAATAAATCCGGTAGTCATGGGGTTCCAAATATAAATTTGTCCAATTTTGCGAGTCTTCTGGTGGTTTTTGGTAAAGTGTTGTGTTCATCTGCCCACGAGCTCCAGCAAAAACTCAAATGCTTCTTCTAGAGAAGACTATATTCCACAAATAGTGGCTGTTTTGTTAGAGATTCTTCGCGTTTACATTTGACCTTTGTGGCCTTTTGTCTTTTGTCTGTCATTCGTAAACAATAGCTAAAACAATGTAACTACTCCGTCGACCAATCAGCGCTTCTGACCGGATTCCGGACAGATTTAACGTCATCAGTATGGAATTTCTGTCGCTGAGTCGCAGACGTTCCTCCGAGCGAAACGTCCCTAGCGGCGAAGAGCGAGGAGAAACGGTTGTTTTCGCAGGCTAGATAACCGACTGCTGGAATAGTGATTCGTGTTGTATATTTAAGATTGAAAGCTAAATGCAATCATTGACAACAACCTTTTCTGATAAGTAGAAAACTAGCGAGGCAAAATTCAATGAAAACAAAACTATAAACAGAGCAAAAATGTCCAATAAACAGTGCATAAAAGCAAGATTGCAGTACTTATAGCGCCGTTATAAAGGTAGTGAAGCGACATCACGAGCCACCTGTTTTGCTTTTCTTAACGGTTTTCCTGGCTGACTTGCTTGATTCTCCCTTCAAATTTTTTGTCTGAATAATGAAATTCACTTTTCCCTAGCTAATGCTAATAATAGCGCAAGTTTTAAAAGAAAAATGGTTTAAAAATGACGGTTTTTGCTCATTCACAAACAACAAACAAACTTGTGAATGAAGCTGCCAACGATTCCGCCCGGGTTAGCGGGCAAGATCGTAAAATACCGCCCGCTCTCGGAACTAATCCGATTGCGGGATTTGGAGGATTCCGCCCGCTCGCAAGCTTTGAAAAAATAAAGATAAGAGATGAGTTCGAATTTATAAGATGACGATAAGACGCGCGTGTCATCGTTTTTCGAGTGTGCTTCTTTACCTGTAGTTCCTAAAGCGACCCACCCATTTCCAATTTGGGACGTCAGAACTGGCCGGCCGCACCGGTCAGATAGTCCTGATTAATAGTGTAATTCTCCTTACGATTGGACTGTCTGGCCAGCCAGTTCTGACATATGGTAAGCGCTCAAGATCAACAGGGACGTACTACTATGTAGCAAACTGTATTTTTACCATAGAGTGCCTGGTAAGAGCTTTGAGGTAATACAATTCCACCAGTTCTGCTGGCATAGAGCTGAGCGTGTGCGCAAAGGACAAGCTATCACCACTGAAACTCCAAAACAGAGGCTGTGGATATCAAGGAAAAAACGACATACAACAATTAGCATGAAGATGATTTCCTGATGAGCGTCCAATCACGACTTTGTTAAGCATCGTTTCGTCTCGTTTTCACGATTTGTCTGTTATTGCAATAAAGAAAATTCACGTTTTGTCGCCGTCTGTCGGCTTAACAAAACGGCAAACATACGCGCTACAATTCATCAGACCGATCTTTCTATCCTTCGGAAAGTTTCGGGAAAAATCTGTTTAAAATTGAGCAAGTTTCTAAAATTTGTTGTAGTCTAAAAGATGTAAGAAAATGGGGCTGATTATTGTATTCGCCTCACGTTTTGGGTCCCAGATTGGGCAGACAAATCGTAGCGTAAAAAAAACCTGCTAAGCCGGCCTTAAACCAATCACAACTGATCAGAAGTAAAACATTACTCGTACTTCTTTTCCCGCGCTGGTTTACACGTAGAAGTAATCACTAGCATAAGAATGCAGAAGAATGATAACACGCGCAATGTAAACGTATTGAAATTTGGGCGACGGATGCAACTGAAGGACCTCGTGACGGACGCCATGTTTTAAAGGCTTCTGCTTGCGTCGCGCCGGTTTACACTTCCCACACAGGTATATTAAGTACAAGCACAAGAAAATTAAAAAAGTTTCCTTTTAATGCATATGCTTAAATATGCCTGTGCTTATATTGCATAGACCCGGTTTTTTATTTACTTTTCATTTATATATGCTTATGCATAATTATGTCAACACGTATTATTAGTCGGCCTATCGCTATAAAGATGAATTGTTGTTCGCAGCAAAATTACCAAACGTTAAATGATTTGCTTAGCTCATCTGTTAGTTCTCCGGTCGGTGAGGCGAGAAGTTGTGGACTCGATTCCCCACTGGACAAATACTTATATTTAAATAATTAGCAAACGGTGAGGGCAGTATGTTAGCCCTGTAAACGTTTAATTATCATCACAAGTGCATATATCTTACCCTGCGATGCTGGCTTGCTGACTTCCCGGTTAAGATTGCATTCCTGGTGAACCATATTGTGCAAGGATCCAGACCAGAAAGAGGTAACTTCAACAGTAAGGCTTTCAGATCACTTTCAATGGATCCCGGGGATGGTATTTCAACCTTCCCGCCATGCAGAAGAAAAGAAAAAAGAAAGAACGAGGAACGAGGTGAGACGGCCGCCGTATTGGCAGGCAATTGTCACTGTTGCCACACTGTCTTGCTCGAAGGCGACGGTAGACTTCCTCGCGATTATTCCATCTCTCAAAATGTGTCAAATGAAGGCAAATACAACGGGCATGTTAAAACCCGGCACACCCGCTGAACACCCCGAAAACCTGGCGGTTGGTACGTATGTAAAATGAAAAACCACAAATAGAAAACCTAAACCTAATCTGTATAATATTAAAATCAAATGCTCTTTCTGCTGCTTTATTTTTTTGACATTTTTCTTCTGAAGTGACTAGAGTAGGATTCTTAGGGACTGCACTCAATTTTAAAAACAAACAAACAAAAACAACAAAATAGATAGAATCATTTTCCGCCACTTGTTACCGTCTCCATAAACATTGAAATAATTCGGAAATTTTACATCGCAAGTGCAGATGGTTGTTGTTAAGCCTAATAAACCTGTTGCGGTGTTTTTGACGTTCTCGTTGTCGTCCGCCATCATAGTAACATTTTTAGTTTTAAATAGCAACAACAACTAAAAAACATTTTCCAGACGCTCTGGAAAACGTTCTTTGCCTTAACATCAGCTTGTCCCAGCTCGTTGCAGAGAGTGAGAGGGTAAATTAGTAAGCTTTACCCAGTTTCCTCACATTTTTCTCGCAGAAATCTCGTTTGTCAATAAATTAAGTTTCAGGTCTTTCGGACGTTTAGTTTTGCGCAAGGTAATTTTCTTGTTTGTGATATTTCTGCTGTTGTTATTTTTTGTTTGTCTGTTTGTTTTTACACAGAATTAATAATTGCTAGATGTAAATGTAAGTGTACCTCAGATTCTAGCCTATGTATTCCCAGGAGCCTGGTGTCAAGTCCTGGTAATCTGGCAAGACCAATCAGTATTCTGTTATCACAAGATGCAACCAGTTCATTCAGTTTTTCCGTTTGTTCAGGCTCTATATTCACAAACCAGCAGAAGAGAACTGGTATAAGCAGAATTTTTTATTTTACTTTAATACTGTTTATCGAGTTATTAACCGATAATCACAGAACACAAATGAATTCAATGATATAAAAGTTGTCCACGCCTAGAGATTCCCTCAATTAAAAGAATCCAGTTTTGCGAAGTCAAATCAGTTAGCAATGTCAGCCAGCCTAATATGATGGGAGGGTACTAAGGAACATGTGGACGGCTTGCTACGAACTGTGGGCAGACTACATTCACCAAAAGAACAGTGGCTCTAGTGAAAGAAATATAGCTAAAATACAGGTCAAAAGTGTTGGGAGCTTAAGCAAACACGTGTTTGAGCAATGCACGATAACCAAAAGTGAGACAGTTTCCCTTTTAATCTGCAAAAATGCTTAAAAATTTGTATTCCTGCAGGCCTTTAGTTTTATAATGACAATTCAGCCAAAAATTTGGGGAAAACACTGCCCAATAACAAAAAAAGACTACTTCCGCTTGACGTGTGTTGCTCCAAAACGTTTCACTAATAGCAAAACTAGTGACCTCACCCCGCCCAATCCAAACAAGTTAAATTCTGAACAACATGGGTGGAAATGAGTCTTTTTTGAGGGGGGGAGGGAGGGAGAAAGAGGGGTTTAAGTGATGAACCCAAAGCAAATGTTATTAGGAGTTACACAGACGTTACATGTACTTGGAAGGGTTTTTATACAGTGTCCCAAGTTATTTTGACCTCTGTTGTAGTCCGGACCCAATTTAGCATTAATATTCTTTCATCCTACAGTTATACAAAAAAAAACCCTTGACTTTTTAAGGAACAAGGACAAAAACAAAGAAAACAACTACAAAAAACAACAACAACAACAAAATCAACTGTAATATTATTAACACTTTACAACACACCATCATTGATCCTGAGTGATGCCAGGATTTGAGTCCCAATTATCCGAACGTCCTCACTATCAAAATCTTGAAGGAAACTTAGGAACTTCTGGGGTGCTGACAGGCTAAATGCCAGTGGAGATGAGAGAGCTGATGAAAATAAACATAAAAATATTATGTTGCAATAAGTAAATAAATTGCAAAACATCATCATGGTGAAATAAAAATAAAAGATACCCCAGTACGTACAATGCATTACTTGGGATTCTAATAAGCACAGTACTTTGCCTAACCATAGAGGTTCTCAAATCAAATTAAATTATCTAATATTCAACATAAAGATTTACTGACTGCGCTTTATTGATTCATGAAATGTGTTTTCCTTGGCAACCAGTTTGGATTTTGCCGGCAGCTTGTGAGACATCTGGAACCAAGAATACAGTAATGTAATCCTATTACTTGGCAAGCGATAGGACCTACCGACTTTGTCAACCCAATACTTCTTAGTTCCATGCACTGGCCTCACATTGCCTGACCATAATATTCTTAATGGTCACTTAGGGAAAACAAATTCCTCATGCAACAAATTAAGTATCTTTATTCAAATATTACAATGCGGTCTCAAAAAATATCCATACCTCCCCCACAGAAGGGATTCTTCCTTACACCACCCCCCCCCCCCCCGACCCACCTCTCTGGAAATTCCAACCATGTTTCATAAATTAATTTAAGATTTTGGGCCTTTGAGAGCCCCCCACCCCTCAGGAATTTCCAATCCCTTCTTTTGGGGGAGTATGGATATTTTCTGGAACTACACAATAATGTTTTTTTTTTCAAATGGTTGTGTTGTTGTGTTGTGTGTTGTTGTGTTGTGTTGTGTTGTGTTATGTTATGTTGTTGTGTTGTTATGTTGTTATGTTGTTATGTTGTTATGTTGTTATGTTATGAAATGAAATGAAATGAAATATGATATGATATGACATGACATGATATGTTATGTTGTTATGTTATGTAATGTTATGCACTGTAAGTAATGTAATGTAATGTTATGTTATGTAAGTAATGTGTAATGTAATATAATGTAATGTTATGTTCTGTTCTGTTCTGTTCTGTTCTGTTATGAAATGATATGATATGATATGTTATGTTATGAAATGAAATGAAATGAAATGATATGATATGATATGATATATGATATGATATGATATGTTCTGTTCTGTTATGTAATGTAATGTAATGTTATGTTATGTTATGTTATGTAATGTAAGTAATGGAATGGAATGGAATGGAATGTTATGTTATGTAATGTAATGTTATGTAATGTAAGTAATGTAATATAATGTTATGTCATGTTATGTTATCTTATCTTATGTTATGAAATGAAATGAAATGAAATGATATCATATCATATCATATCATATCATTTCATTTCATTTCATTTCATAACATAACATAACATAACATTACATTACTTACATTACATAACATTACATTACATAACATAACATAAAATAACATTACATTACTTTACATTACATTACATTACATTACATTACATTACTTACATTACATAACATAACATAACATAACATAACATTTACATTACATAACATAACATAACATAACATATATCACATCATATCATTTCATTTCATTTCATAACACAAAAAAGGCGTCTTGCGTCCTTTGAATTTTAATTACACATTTTTCAAAGCTGTGCTTATATTTTGTCATTGTAGAGCCCTATTCAGCGCAGTGTTATTTCTCAAGATTATTGCAAACAATGTCTTATATTGCTGTTCTGAAAATGTGAGCCGTCAGAATTACTTTTTGTTGCATAAAAATCTATTATTTTATCGATGTCTTTTTGTCTATATAATAAAAAGAACATTACACGGCGGCTTGAAGATATGAATTTTATTTTCTTGTGGCAAAAACAATATTTTACTCACTCGCTGTGCTCGTTCATAAAATATTGTTTTGCCACTCGAAAATAAAATTCATATCTTCGCACCACCGCGTAATATCCTCTATGTAATGTTTTGTAATGTAATGTAATGTTATGTTATGTTGACACAACAACTATTGACATACATACATGTAGTAGTGTATACATAATAGTAAAATAAAATCACACAAAAAGTCATACAAGATATTTGATTTTAAGTCAAGGGATTCTACATTTTACAAAGCAATTGAAAAACGTAGAGATGTTTCGAGTATGCAACTAATTTGTATGACTAAACAAAGAAAACAAATGTTGCCACCTAAAACAGAAAGGTACGAGGCTAAATTATACAAATAAATCAAGCAAAAAGTATGTACATATAGTAAAATAAAATCACACAAAAAGTCATACAAGATATTTGATTTCAAGTCAAGGGATCCTACGTTTTATGCTTCTTATACAATATTATTATTAATGCAATAGATTTTGTAAGAGGTTATTTTTAAAGCGAGACCATGTCCGTACAAAGACGTTTGAGTTGTTATTGTGGAATGCAATCTGCTTTTCAATTTCTATCGAGTTCATAAGTACCTGTATATACACCTGAGGCTCGTTCTGCAGGTGTATATGCAATGTTTAGCTATAAGGAGAAGGTGATGAAAGGTCTTTTACGTCGTCAATGGCATGGGACCGAAACAGAGAAACAAGGAGGGAGAGACGTTTGCTAAATCTTTGAAACTTTGCGAGATCCACTCGAACATGCTCTTCCAGAAGTTCTGAGTGTATTTGCAAGTCCAGAATAGATGAACAAGGGTTTCTTTCCTCGCACAAGGAGCAGGAATCTGTTTGTTTGATACTTATTTTGTACAGAAAGTCATTTGTGGCTATTCTTCTGTGAAGGAATTTATATTGGAACGCTCTAAGCTTTGACTCTCTTGTATACTGAAGATAAATGATAGGCAGTACGTATTTTCCCAGTTTACTATTATACTAAGATTACAATGTATGTCTCTGTCTTCCAACCACTTTCCCTGACTTCTTGGTGGTATAGAAGCTTTTTCGTTTATTAGACATTCATAAATTTTCTTGGAAACTTTGGTGTGAGACAGAAGGGTATCAACTGGATCGTTTGGAGTTGGGTCATGATAAGCTGTAGAGTGTACTTTCTTGTAATGTGCTACAGCAGATATCACTTTGTGATATTCGAGATAGTTGGTTTTGATGCTATATTTATCTATGAAGGCGTTATAGCTTAGAAAATTCTGGTCATTATCTAACAGATCGCTAATCTCCTTTATCCCCGCGCTCAATCATGATCTGTAGAAGAATGGACGATTTTCAATTCTAACGTGAGAGTGGTACCATATATATGTGGAGGCAAAATCGAGGTTATTGTCTTTGTAATTAAATTTTGTCCAGTACTGTATGATTTCTTTTAAGAAAGGGTCCTTGACATTGAGCAGTGTAGAATCTTGATGTTTCAAATTGCTTCGGAAAAATAGTTTTCCTCTGTACTCACTTAAGAAATGGTCAAAAAAAAGTTTCCACTTCCCTTTATTTTCTTCATTTAGATACCCTTAGCTCCATTTCATTGTCAAGGATTCATTAAAGCTTTGAATACCTAACATCTTAAGTCCTCCTTTCGCGTAATTATTTATCATTGTCGTCATTTTGATTAATTTTTTATCGCCGTTATAACCGTCCCACAGGAAATCGTACAATATAGAGTTGATTGTCTTGAGTATGTCAGGAGGTATAGGAAGAGATGACAATATGTAGACGATTTGTGATACGACTAGAGTTTTATGACTGTAATTTTACCCAAGAGGGTCAGTCTTCTAGCCGACCAGTTATCTAAGATACTCCTTATTTTCTCAAGAAAGTTAGAATTTAAAGAGACCTATCTTCCAAAGACTACACAATAATCTAGAAGCATGTGAGATCCTCCCAATCCTCCATGTACTAAGTGTCACTAAATAATGTTAATATCTATTTTCACACCTTTTGAGAATTGAGCAATCAGTTCACTTGGTATTTGTATGTTTGACCAGAATATTTTCTGCCATTCACCCGCATGTGAAAATTCCCAAGCTTCATCCAGCCAAGGCACTAAAAATAATTAAAGGCTCTTATGAAAAGCCTTTTTAACACAACATGTAATAGGCATTAGAAAAGAGAAAAGAGAAATTCGGGTGCATGAAAACCAGAGGGGCTAAATAACATTTTTGCACACTATACCTCCTCCTTCCCTTTTTGAATGCTTACCACACAGGTTGACACTATTAAGGGTGATGTGTTATACAAAAACTGGTAAACCATCCATTTACCAATCTGGCTCACAGATAATATTATTATGAGGATAGCATCCTACAGTGTAAGCCAACAGCTGTCCACAAACTTTGATATTAGCAAGCTTAGAATGCTGGGGAAAATATCCTGGATGTCATAAATAGCAACTGAAGTTTGAAGTTTCACTTGACGAAATGGCACAACGATTTTGACTGCTTTTGTTTTTTAACTCTTGACAATGTTGCTGAGTTTAGCCTTGAAAGAAAGAAATGATTTTAAAACTTCTGGGATCACCATATTTTACATCTGGGATATCCATCAATACATTTTGCTTGATAACTCACTTTTATCAGTAGTGAGTCCCTACATACTAAGAAAAAGGTCCTCACCCCAGATGTTATGTAACCAAACAACTTATAAAATTGAGTCACGGATTTCAATGTGAAGGTTTTTTCTAGGTTAATTCAAGGAGCTCTTTTTTCATTAACATTGTTTCATATTCTCATTTTGTTGCTTCGGTATTATCGTAAATATTTATTAATTTTATGATCAATTCAATAATTTAAACTGTAAACCTTTCACACACTCAGCCAGATCAGGGTTGCTGTCCTCTTCATTTGTATTCACGGTCAAATCAAAGCCTGCTACACCAATTCTCTTCTCATCTTTAACTAGAAGACTGTCAATATTATGAGCAATTTCCCATGTCATAAAACCAGCACTGTTAAAAGAAACAAGATCGACGAGCATGTTCATGCAGGGTCCCATGAAATATTTAAAACTGAAATATTATATTCTTAGTTTTCTACCTTACAGAAGGAAATTGAAAATTCCAATGGATCAGAGGCAAAGGACTGACTCAAAGCACCCAAAATGAGACACAAGAAATTAACCTCAGGTATGTAGCTTAGGAAAAGCTAAACAGGCTTCTTTATTAGTCAAGCTGTCTTTTTTGCTCAACTGCACCTTCAAATTAAATTATCCCATGTCTTTTTTTTCCAGAGCAATTTGAGCTGGCCCTGAGATATTTTTCAACCAGTGAAAGTAGCTGGCAGCCCACAGCTCTTAGAGACATCCCTGCTAGTATTTTCTTACTAGTACAGTGTACTGCATCAATAATCTGATGCCAGTCTTCCTTTGTCATGATGGTTTTGAACAAATAGTGAGTGTCAGAGGTGGACATGGTATCAGAGCTACAGGTGTATAACTTATTTTTCTCACTTGAAAGGTCTAAGGGTTCAGCTAAGTCATCACAGACATTAGTAAAAAAAGGTGGTTTGAATTTGATGCATTTTGCACCTTTAACAAATAATATTGGGCACAGTAGGCAGGGTATTTTCAGGAAGACTCTGTCGTCTACTTATTCACTGCAGCAATATGTTATTCTGTTGGCATGTCAATTCAAATGTGCTCTTAAACGTACTAGATTTTTTTCACAACGTGCAAAATGCTAGTCTTCAGTATCAACTTTTTCCTGACAGCATGTCTGACCACAGTTCAGATTTTATTGGACATAAGCCAATTTTAGTCAGATGTTGGTTAATGAGCAACCATTATTTCCAGCTCTGGGTGTAGTAGAAAGTAAACTCTTCGAAAATGACATAAATTGTTCATTTAACCTGTTTAGAAAACATAGGTTTTGTTAGGGCGAAAGGAGACTTATTTCGAGGACACAGATGCACAAGAGGACAAAAGGATAGGAGGTACACGTAATAATGTTCCCACTGTGTGCTATATAAAAACTAACCAAAAAAACTTACCAGCACCTGCCTCGGGGGCTATACTTTATTAAACAGATAATTTTCAAGGAATGTTTTTTCAACCTCTTTACTGAATTTGGACTGTTGCAATTGGCACCAATGGAAAATCTATACAGGAGCATGAAATAACCACCAACTACAATTATGCATTTCCAGTGAGTTCTGAAAACAATTTACCCACCCTGCAAGAATGGATGCACAAAGCTGAAGAGGACCTTAGAGAGAAAAAAGCCATACCATTACTATAACAAAATTAATTGAAAAACAGATAGTTACGTTTTGACAGACAGTCGCTAAGGCCATCCCCTTTTTTGTTTTTCGTTTAGCATTGAATGCGTTTCCTGAAATTGCGTCGGTCAGTCAGATTGAAAACAAAAAAACCTTTAAAAAAAATTCACAAGAAGTCTTGGAATAGGAGGCCCTGGTACCCCAGGATGACGTTAAAAGTTAACATTTACATATTTCGATTAACAAAATGCACAATATACTGTAAAAAATGTTCCTGTTTTTGTTCCTGTTTTTCTCTACACTGTTACTATGCTCATTTTTCAAATAAAAATAATTATTTTAAGTGAAAATGGTTTAACTGCATCATTACTTCTTTTTTTTCTTTTTAAATGCCAAAAATTTGGGTCAGTTGGATGACGCTAAACAGAGAAAAAAATAGAGGATGGCCTAATACAGGCTGTGGATTATAATAATATAAATGTGGGATTATGAAATTTCTTTTCTTATTGAAAATTACATGTACTTACCCAAAATAGACAAATGGCTCAAATCTTGTCTGTACACCAGCCCAATATACATACTTTTTGTACTTTTAAAAACCTCCCCCCCCACCCCCCGACTACTTAACATCAAAGTTCCATAGTTTTCATCATTCTAAGCTTGGAGGACCCATCACAGAAGTTCACATTTAAACACGATACAAACAACACCTGTTAGGCTGCCAAAATTCTGCCACGCCAAGGTTGAAGGTCATGATTTAAAATTGTTTCTGGTCAGTACATGTGTATTAGCTCAGTTTTTAGGATTGATGACTTTCACAACCCAAGGCAAAAGTTAATAACAGTGCCAATACAATCTCTCTCTTCAATCTTTAAGAATTCAATTCTTTCATTTAAGACTCAAAAAATTTTATACCAGCAGTCTCTAAACACTCTAACACAAATTAGAGTATGTAAACATGGTTGTGACGTAAAGATGTTTTGTTTTTTGCGCGCTAATCCGGAAACACGAATTTGAAAAAGTTTTTTAGTTCAAAACTTGACAAGTTTACTTTATTTAGCCATTCCTTCGTCGGCTGAAACTTAGTTCAATTGTTAGGATTGATGACTTTCACAACCCAAGGAAAAAGTTAATGACAGTGCCCATACAATCTCCACTCAGCAGACATTAAAGCTTCGATCTTTAAGAATTCAATTCTTTCATTAGACTCAAAAAAATTTATACCGGCAGTCTCTAAACACTCTAACACAAAGGCCACCAAAATAACTAAATGCTATTCCGATGGTGGCTGTTGTGTAAAAGTTTGAACATATTTCTAAGAAAGGATAAAACTTAAAGCCAAATTTTACCAGTTACACTATAATCAATCTTACAAAAAGGTATGGAATTGTTACACGTAACTTTGTCTTCAGTGAATCTAAGTCCCACTCTGAAGACTACATGAATCAAATTAAAGAGCACGCAGATAAAAAATACCTCTCCATGACATAATGTAGTCAAATCATCGTTTCTTCGAGGTCCTTTTGCCCAGTGAAAGAAGTAATAAACCGACACAAACGCCTAAATTGCAGAACTCGCCATTCAAACTTCGCATCAAAACAAACAGGCGTTGCTCGTAGCGAGCCGCCACTCAACCTCGTCCCCAGGGTCTTCTCGCTTTCCAATATGGCGGCGGCAGAAGAGAAGACCCTGGCACACAGCGAACTAAAACGGTCGCTGATTGGTGTATTCCACTACGCGTTCATACGTGCGCTCTCATTGGTTCATTCCTTCCAAAACAAAGATGGTTACCTTTTGAGGGCTTCGTAAAGGCTTAGAAGTGCTTTCTTCAGTGTTTGAGACCCAAAAGGTGGACAGAATTCAGATCTGATTGTTCGGAAAACTGTGACTGTACCGTTGGAAGGCAAAGATTCGAATATAGTGATATCTGAAATGGTAACGCTGGGAATATTACAACGCGTAGAGGTATTTCTGTTGCTCGTGCTATTCGGTTTTTGTGTTCTAAATTACTAAAGATTTGCTTCTTTAATTCCCGATTTGTCAAAGAATACTTGCAAGGCTTCAGCTTATCAGTAAATTTAGCTGTCCGTTTGCAAAGGTTTAGTGTTGTTCTGCTTTTTGTTTTCTTTGAACAAAAACTGTATGCATAATATTATTGATGTATGGGGTTATACGGAAATCTTGCATAATCTGCGCTTTGTCTCAGCAGTTTTTTTGTCTAGTGAAACATTTTTTTTCATTTGATCGTAACATGTATGGGCCTAACCTGGCCTTCTTTTAATTTTTTTCCACTGTGATTTTGAAGGGGGATGAGCAGCGACAGAGGCAGATGTCGAAACAAAACTAAAAATTGAAGCCAAACATAGTGTCGCTATCCTTTGATATTTTTAATCCTGACTTTTCATTTATTCAGTTTTTAGTGTCACAATAATGATAATTTATTATTATTTGCTCATTTCAGTGGCAGTAAAATACAGCTAAATACAGAGACATTGGGAAAATAAACTGTTTCCTTTTCTCAGAAATGAAAAACTTGCATATTAATGTATTGAAGCTTGTGGGATTTCTTTCTAGTTGCAAAAATAAAATAATGAAAGCACATGATGTCTTTTATTCTATCAAGTTGAAAACAGTGATCAGCCCATGCAAGGAAATCTGACAGTCTTGGATTCTCAATTCTGCACCATGGATACTGCATTCTGGATTCTTTGTCAGTAGAACTTGGATTCCAGATTTCAATTATAAGTGGGATGCAGAATACTTGCCCTTTTTTCCAGATTCTACGAGAAAAATTTCCCAGATTCCAGATTCCCTTACATGGGGTGACAGTGACCCTAAGATAAATATGTTTTCTGTCAAACTAAAACCTGTCAATTGAGCTTCTAATATTACTGTAGGCTAAGTGTGCATGTTATTTGTGTCATTATATGCTTGAAAAGGGGGTTTGTGGACCAGGTGAAATAGTGGCTAGTACTGTACTATTCCAAAACCAGCTGGGTATGATTATGAAACAGCTATAATTCAGTTCTAAAACTTGGATTTACAAAAATAAACTGCTTCAATGGGTGCACATATCACTATCCACTGAATAAACAAGAGCGGAAAGGGCCTGTAGTGTCTTGATCATGGGATTTTTCATGTAGGGATGCCAAGGCTTTTGAAGTGTTTTGCACCAGAGTCCCCACTAGCATAGTGAGCTTTTAGTTGCCTAGTCACGGCCAATGAGTTTCGCGTCACCTGGTCCCAAGAGAAATTGTGAAACAATTTCCCTCCAGTTTGTCTAAGATAAGTCACTGAAATGAATTGACCAAGAAGGCTTGAGAAAATACCACACAGGGAAAAGGCAAGGCTTTTAGCTTGTTTAGGTGTTGGGCTGTGAGGTTGCAGCTGTTAGATGTGCTGGCTTAAATACTTCCAAAGTCTACTTTAAGGTGTTGGTTAGTCTTTGTCATAGTGTCTATATCATAATTATATCATCAGAAATAATCAGATTAACACAACTATTAAACTGATAATCGATTATAGTAGATTATAGTTTTGTGCCCCCTGTGCGCCATTTTCAACACTGAAAATAATTTTGTAAGTGAACAAAACAAAAAACCTACCCTGCGCTGCAAGCAGAGGCTTATCTGTCACATAGTTAAACCAACTAAACATCATATAAACTACATTAAGAGCCCATCAAAAAGACAACACAGGTGTATTAATGTCCTTATTTGTCAACAACGTTTTTGTGAATTTTCCACAACAATCAATTGAACATTTGTATAAGCAATACTCACTTTGCTTTAGGTTTCCGATCAATGATAGATTATGATCGATAATCAGCACACCACTACCAGGTCATGTCTCGATTTAACAAGAGTACGAAAGGGCCCATCTGACGAGCAAAGCGTGTTTGACTTAAAAGATCTATTACCAGGTATCTCCAAATGAGATAGAAACTTTTACAGTGCACATGACTCAGATAAGACTATCAAATTTTTGAACAACTGGAGTCTAGCCTTTAGTCAATTTGCACATTGACATGGCAAAGTGCAGCCCCAAGTAATATGTAAAATAAACCAAAGTCAGGGATTAAGAAAGTTTTTGCTCTAAAAATCGAATCTATTTCAAAGTGGAGAATACTTTTGGAGTGCTATATTACAAACAATGGAAACACTCTTCACCTTTTCCTAGCTATTAAAGTGGGGTTAATGCCTTTCATTTTTTACATCTGAGAGGCAAAAAAAACAATAATAACAACATCTTAAATCCTCTATTAAGGCCCCCTCTCTCAAATAAGCCCTCCTATTCAGTGGAAAGTTTTAACAATAAGCACCCGTCTCTTTTAACCCCCATCCCACATCCCCCCCTTTTCTTATTCTTCATAAAAGACTGTATCAATCAATGACGACTGTAAAACTTTGTGTGGACCGATCCAGGATGGTTTATTCACCAACTGGAAGTTCAGATTTGTTTTTGATCCTCGGCTACTTGACCTCCAACCTTCTTGTACTTGGGCTTTTTGACTTGGCATTTTTTTTGTGGGGGACTAATACCAGCGTCTTTGCTCTAGATTAAATAAGGCCCCTATCTCTATTGCCCGGAAGCATTGTGAACAGGGTTAGATATCAAAAGCCAATAAGAAAGTCTAAAAACCGTGAAGTAGATCAAGATTGACAATAATTTTATTACCTGTACCAGATCAAGTGACAAAATATCCAAACTGAACAAGGACCTGTTTAATTTTCAACCAAAGTTCCCTCAAATTATATTAACAAAATAGTGTTCTATGGCTCTTGTTTTCAAAAAAAATTGTTTTTTTACGTATCAGAGTTCCGTTAAAATGTGTGCAAATAGAAAAACAATAGTCAAAAACCTCATGAAGATCTGTAACAAAACTGACGATAACTTATCAGCTCAAAGTGTCTGCGACTCAATTTAATGCTTAGTTAAATTTCGGAGCGGAAGAAGTGTTAGAGCGTCATGACAAAAAATTCCCTGGCTTCAGAGGTCTGTTCTCGAAATTCCTAAGATCAAATAAATTGCGCTCACGGTTAAAAAGAGCTCCCCCTTTCACGAAAGAAGAAAACTGAACCTCTGGCACTCAGGGTAGGCAAAAAAAGAAAACAGTGAAGAAAGGTCGGTATCGAGAAATTAAGTTGTAGACAGTTGTTAAGTGCCGTGTACGCTAGAACGTTCAGGCTTAAAACTAAACCCAGGTCATTGAACAGAAAATAATATCGCTATATCATTCTACCGTATTCCTGTGGCTTGTAAGTGCATTCATTCATATTTTTAGCTTCTTTGAGTTTGCCTCTGCCGCCATTTTGTTTGTTTTTCACCAGGTCTCAAGACCTCGTACCCAGATCCTCTCACTCTTTAGCTTGGCCGCCATTTTGAATAAATTTCCACTCTCCGTGGACAAATCAGTCACGTGATTTCTGCTGTGTGCCAGGGTCTTCTCTTCTGCCGCCGCCATATTGGAAAGCGAGAAGACCCTGGGGACGAGGTTGGCCGCCACTTTGTCCCAGTCCTCGGTCCCTCCTGTCACGCTACTCTCCCGAACTCACAACGTCATTGTTTATTTTTGACATTTTTGTTTTAGAAAAAAGGAAGAAATACAACTAAAAGTAATTTCATATGCATATTTTGATAGTTAGACAACGAAAGTTGATTTAAACAAAAATCAATCAAGAACTTCCGGACAGGAAGTTCTTTTGTAGCCTAGTTCCAGATCTCTTGCTGCTTGGAAGAGCAGGTGTTGGACGACAAAATGGCGGAAAACGCGCTTACAAAAGCCGTTGACAAAAAATACCCCGGTTTCACTTACGAAAAAGAAGGAGAGTGGAAAGGATCTTTCTGCTTTATCCATGCTTCAGATACACAATTTGGCCTTATAGATTCGTGGAATGGTGTTCCACTTGAAGAGCAAAACTGGGAAAAAGAAATCGTCCTTACGCGCAAAGCGATCGCTGCTGCAAACAAGCTGTCACCAAAACCTAGGTTCTTTGTTGTTTGCGGCGATCTCGTGAACGCTTTTCCCTGGGAAAAATTCAACGATCCACAAGTTGCAGATTTTAAGAAGATCTTCAATGAGCTCGACCCAAATATCCCCCTGATCTGTGTTTGTGGGAACCACGACGTTGGCGATTCACCAACACAAACATCTCTGCAAAAGTACAGGAGCAATTTTGGGGATGACTTTTACTCCTTTTGGGTTGGAGGTAAACTTTTTTACATTTGATTAGGATAGGTACAATCTACAATGAAATGTTAACAAATTAATTTTACCTGCACTTCTTCCGCAAGGAGGGGACAAGCAATATATTTTCGTCAATTAGAGGTTGTACTCACTCTATCATGGTCAATTGCATTTCACAACCTTGTTTATTCATTTCAACGTTCTTTTGACAGGGCAATGGAATTTTAATTTTCTTTCCCGGAGAATGCTAAATCCGTCGTGTTTTGAAGAACATCTGGGTTCTTTCCTTAACATTTTTGTAGTCTTCTTTTTTCTTTTAAGCTTAAGTGTAAGAAATGTTTTATAATAATAATGCCAGTTGCTGGTTGTTGGTTCTTTTTGTTAGCTTATTAACGTTGCGTTTTCGTGAAGCTTAACATGCCAAGATTTTGTTGCCTACTTCTATTTCTGCTAGCCCAGTTTGTTGATGATTGCTTATTTTTCAAAGGGGTTGATAAATTTTTGGAAAAAAGAATATAAACAATTTCGAGTGTTTTAACCAGGTTTTAAGTGTGACCCTCAATACATTTCGTGCTGATGGGAGTTCCCCTAATATTAAGGAAAAGCCGGAAGTTTTAAGCTTTCCTGTTCTTAAATACCAGGTGGAATCTGGAGTGAAAATATTTGCCTTGCATGTACAGTATTGTATGTGCTACAGGTATAATACAAATATGTTCTAAAGCATTTCGTAACATTTTCAGTCTATTCAAAATTATTTTAATCTAGAATTTCAGATGGGATTGATTGCCGGTATATCTTTCTCAGTCCTTCCTACCCCCCCCTCCTCCCCCCAAATTTTTGGTAAATGTAAATGCCTTTGGTGAAGCACACCTGTATTATGATTAGTATGACTTGCCCTAGTCTAGCGGCTATAAATATCATTTTACACTATAAATGTTAATAATAAAAATTAATTGATGGAAAATGTTTTAACATTATTAAATTAATGGAATGCTCTCTAGGCTGTATACTGTATGACAAAATACAGAAAAACAAAACAAAACAACAAAGAATGTAAATCAGAAAAATAATCCTCTCTTAAAACCTGTCCCACCAACTGCAAGAGCTTTTTATTATTATTGTTTTTAGCTTTTAATCAAGAACCTTTGAGGGGGGAGACAGGACTACATGTAAGCAGAGAGAGGGTCTTATTCAGTTTAGCAAAATTAAATGCAACTATCAAGAAATGAGAAAGGATCAGAGTGGAGTTACAGTACTCTAATTTATTCCTGTTTTGGATGGGTGGGAAATATGACTGTTTGACATCAGGATTTGAGTGATATTATTCAAATTTTATAAAATCACTAAGATACCACACGCACTCTGATTGGCCGAGAAGAGTGTTTGCATGACAGTATGTAAAAAAGGTTTTGACGTCAAGATGTTTTGCTTTTTCCATGCTTATCACACAAGCACAAATTTGAAAAAGGTTTTTGAGTTTAAAACTCAATAAGTTTACTTTATTTCCCCATTCCTTTGTCGGCTGAAACTTGAAAAATCTCTACAAACAAGCTGTGTCAATTTTTTTTTCACTTAAGCTGATATTTTAATCAAGGAAAATCCGTATTTTGGAAAGCATCTTCTTGCAAAACAATAACTGATTAAGCGTGTAAGACTTTGTGTACAAGACTTTGCGACTGGTAAAAATTTCTCTTTTAATCAGTGCCGTAACAAAGAATTTTGCCTTTTTTCCCGGGAAAGTTATTTTATAAAAGCGGTAGAAAACTTTTTTTTCCGTGTTTGCATAGCCTGAAATAAACACTCCAGGGGTTGGGAGAATTCTCAACAGTTATGCAAACCCTCAACTTCATCTCAGGTTTGCAAAACTGTCTCGAATTCTCCCACCCTCTCATGTTTATATCAGGCTACCATATTTCCTCAAATAATAGCCGTCCCTTGATTAATTGCCTCCTTCGAATAATCGCCCTCCTTTGACAGAAATATTTGAAATGGTCACCTCCCTCAAATAATCGCCCCTTTTGCCATATCTTCTCTTCCTTTTATGACCTACTTGTCAAGTTGAAGCAGTGCAATGTAATCCAGCAAGATCAGTGACGATCAAGCTCTGAAAATTAATCAAGGAACTAAATTTGGAATACTGTCTTGAAAAGACCATGTTCAATTTATTTGATGAGATTATTTTTTTGATTTAATGGGAAAATAAAAATATATAATATATATTTAGGGCACGACTTCCAGTGAGCAATATTTGAAATAATCACCTCCTTCGAATGATCGCCTTCCCTCGAATAATCGCCTCCTTTTTGGGCGAAAAAAGAAATAATCACCCCCGGCTATTATTTGAGGAAATACCGTATGTAAACACATAAAACGCTATGGGGACAGCTCATATTACAGGCTGTCACTAAGAGCCCGATGGCCAGGGATTTTCCCCAGCTACTATGAGTGTGAACCCCAGCTATTCTTATAGGAAACAAAAGGGAAATGGAACCAAAAGAACTTCCTAGCATGTACAATTCTCCTACTGCCAATTGCATAAACTGGGCAACTTGAAATTTTAGCGAAAATCCGGTATTCTTTTTAAAAACACAAATTTTTATTTTTTGGTTTGACTGTAAAACTTTAAGTGACTGTAGAGGAAGGGGCCTGGGGGCAGGCGCTTAATTAATTCTCTTGTGGTTGGGATGTGAATGAAATAATATTTAATGAAGTATATTGAATCTTTTCTTCAAAATTTCACTAAAACCCATCAGTACCTTGAATGCTATTTAGGAATAGACCGATCTAGCCTGATAGTCTTGATTAATGGTGGAATGATTTTTTTATTGGACTGGTCTGGCCAGCTGACAAATGGTAAGGATTGTTGGTAACCCAGATTAATTTTTCTCTTTGTTCATCTCTGGAGTTTACATTGTATAGCAAGAAAAATTACTCATCTGACAAATAGTATTATTAAATCTAAACTCAATAATCCATATTCTCCAAGTATTAGTTCATCCACTGTGAATACCAATTTTTTTTTGGTTCACTCATTCACACTACATCATAATTATTGTTTTTCACAGGTGTTTTCTTTCTTGTACTTAATAGTCAGTTTTATAAAGATGCCAGCCAGGTGATGGAACACAAGCAGGAACAAGATCAATGGTTAGATGAACAGCTTTTGTTTGCATCAAGCTGCGGAGCAAAGCACGTTGTCATTTTTCAACACATTCCTTGGTTCTATGCCAACCGAGATGAAAATGATGATTACTTCAATATTGAGACAAATGTGCGTAAAGAGATGCTTTCAAAGATAAAGAGTGCTGGTATTAAGTATGTCTTCGCTGGTCATTATCACAGAAATGCTGGAGGTTTTGACGAAGGTTTGGAAATGGTTGTCACAAGCGCTGTCGGCCAGCAAATTAACAATGATAAAGACTCAGGGATGAGGATTGTCTGTGTCACAACAGATAAAATAACTCATGAATATTATGAGCTGGACAGTGTTCCCACCAGTGTAACTTTGTGAAACCCAAAAAAAAGACAATGCTGCGTGTGGAGAAGGATTTTGATAACGTCTGTGGAGCAAGTGACTAGATCTGGAACGACTTATCATCCTTTTACATGGTAATCACCATGGACACAACCTGCACAATAACTGAAGGTCCACTGTACAGGTAGTTTTCCTGTCACCAGGAGCAGCTTTTATAGTTCAGAAAACATCTTGATGTTGTCCAGTTCATATTAATAACATATGCATAAAATGTGCACAAGATTGAATTTAATACAAAATAATTTATAGCAGTTGATAAACATCATAGTCATCTGTAGTCTGGTATACTAAATATATTGCTTGATGGTACATGGTACATCTGTATAAAGTTCCAGTGATAAATTTTTTGTTGGTATCAAAAATTAGGCTGCAATCACTAGTGGCTGATTTTCGTTCTCATACATGTAACAGGTGATGGCCATGTACGCTGTAGCCAGGTATACTTAAATGTAGTATTCTAACTTAGATTTATTGGGTTATTTATTTACTTTGATTTGAGAAAAAAAAATTATAATTATGTACAGCATAGATGTTGTCACTGCCATGGCTAAAGGGCAGGCTTACTCTCAATAAATTAGAATGACTTTAATCACAACCAAGTTCTTGTTATACAAGAGTTTGTGATTTCAAAATGTTTTTTTTTTACAACAATATTTTTAAAATTATTATTTACTAACTAAAATAATTTGCTATTGTTTCACTTTTCATCAGCATAACATTACATACCTGTTTTTTTTATGACATTATATTATTTTATGTGCTTGATGCTTAATGGGCCATAATCTTAAATACATGAAATCAGCTTTGATTTTGCCACGTTATTTATTTCTATTATTTTTGCATGAATTCCCTCATATCTTGGGACAGTCTAATCAGAGATGTCCTCAAGTTGTTACCTTGATATTGTCATTATATTATTGACAGAGTATATTGGATTTAGGGTACAGATTTAATTTATACAGGCATAAATTAATGATCCTGGAAAGTGGACTTATTAAATGTCACTGTTTTTTCAGCATACTGTGTAACAAATTTTACAATAAATGACTGTAGTCAGCAATCTTTTTCAATAAATTATAATGGTTGTATAATTATACCATTGCATACATGTAGTTAGTACATGTACATGTATATTTTGTGGTTATGGATTGTGTGTTACTGATGAAATTGTATGCAGGAATGGAAATGTGTACATCTGATATATCTTCAACAAAACGTTCTGCGCAATAATACAATGTGTTGTAAAAATCTAGGCAGAAGCCTGTCCTACAATTTTTTTTCATTGCTACTATTTGCATAGTTCGAAAACCAACCATTCTTATCTATACGCAGTTTTACTGACCTCATAAATTGTTGTTTTTAGTTAATAATAATGATAATAATAATGGAATTTATATAGCGCTTATACATCGCTGTTCTAAGCGCTTTACAATGAAAAAAGGACATAAGAATATCATTAATCACAAGCTTACATATAACCCTACTGTACATATTGGGAAATTTATAGCATACATATCTTAAAAAGGAAAGTAAACAAAAACAAATATGATGAAACTAAATGTCATTATACCTTTTTAAAAAGAAACGTTTTCAACTTAGATTTAAAAAGATTAAGTTACCTTCGTTACTTTGTTTTGTTTCTGTTGTTATCATTATTCAGCTTTTGTAGAAATTAAGTTGAAAATTTATCATAACAATTTTTTCTTTTTTTCAGTTTGTTTGCTTATTTTTTGGCCTAAAGGATTTTACAGCTGAGGGAAAGTGGACCTCAACAAAATTATTCCTAGTTTCATTTTAAAATATAAAAGCAAATACACAGCACTCATGCCATAATTGACTCATGGAGTAATGGCAAATGCTCCTTGCCTTGTTTCACTAGCAAACGCAAGGAAATGTGCCAGAAAAGATCTCACATTCCACAAGAAGTCATTGACGGCTTTGTATAAAAAAATGTGCGCTGTGCATTATTTGAATATTATACACTTAGGATTCATTGGCAAATTTTGTAGTATATTTCTCATACATTGTAATTTACCTCATCCTCAAGACGCGCCTTTTACTCCCAACCCGACTGACTGCCCCTGGGTCTCCGAGGATGAATTTACCTGTAACAAAGGTTGTTTCCAACAACTTATAGTATACCATTATGAAATACACCCAATCAAAGTCTCCAATCACACCTGAAAGGCTGGCAAAGATCTCAGCAAGTACTCACTGCATGCAGTTTCCATTTCACTCTACTAACTTTTCAATCTGTCAACAAAATCAGCAAAGAAATAGATTGGTAAACGACCTACTGAAAGAATTGATTTTTTCTATCTGATTTTTTCTGTTTATTGAGAGCAATATGTAGAAATATGAACACATGTACTGGGTAAAACCCTGGTTAGTCATATAGATCTGTCAGGAGTAGAGGCTCCATGTTAACAATGATTTTTTTGTGCTATTATTACTGCAATTCTAGAACCTTGGAGAAAAGTGTCTCCTTTGAGTCCACTCCTGCAGAAACCGCTTATAGAAACTGGGAAATTATTCAACATAAGATCACCTCAAAATTGCCGCTAAAATTGCAGCAAAGATAATTGCCAAAAAATCACTTCGTACATGGACCTCATTAGTGAGCCTTTATGATGTCTGGTTCTTGTAACATTCAATTCGCAATTTGATTATTCTAATAACTATTACAATAATTATTATAGTATTTAATTAGGAATGTTATTAGTGATATTTTGGTAGCTGTCTTTAAAACACAGATTTGAGCAGATTAAGTATAAATAAACTTTTTGAACTGCAATGGACTCTTGTTTTCTCTGCAATGCCATACAATCAACATAGTATTATTGTGTTCAGCATGTGAACGAACTCTGTGAAAAGGCACCTTTCTGCGGTGGTCACTTACAGATGGTTCAACCCCCTTTGACTGTAAAACTGTACTAAGCCAGACTTGTTCCCTGTTGCTTCTAAGACAAAGTTGATAAGAATGAATTACAGCAAGGGAACTCTGAACAAAATCGGGTAGTGATGTAGCCTTCCATGCAGGCTTTCTTAAGGGCTTTGTCACACGTTCCCTTTTCACTATAATAAAACAATGCTGGTAGTGCTGTCCCTAACCCCTCTGTCCTTCCCAGGGTTTTATTGCTTTCAGTAACTAAAAGAGAGTGAGAATTAAGGAGTCTGTTACCAGAAAGGCACCTCTGTCTCTGAATAACCACGACTACAGTGACAACTTGTCAAATTATCTATCAGATCATTATGGGGATTGAACTCTTTTCTCATGTAAAAACTTTCTTTTGTTTCAAGAAATTGCATATCTGTGGAACATGTCAGTGAAAATGATTTGTTCTTAACTGCTTGCAAGAGACTTTGCAGGTCATTTGGTCGAGCACTGAAAAACCTAGTCCAGAGGATGCAAGTTACTGTCAAACTCATTAAACCCTGAACACCTGAAAAATTTCAGGAATGTTGATTGTGTACTGGCCAATCACAATAAAGTTTAGGATACGCAAGCAAACCTTAAAAACACAAACTAATTACCATTGCTGTTTGTGGTTTAGTTATCTCACACAATTGGTTTATTTCTTGTAACACAATAACATTCCATAAATATTTCTGGTCAGTGTTCACAGTTTTGTGAGTTTCAAGGTAAAATCTCACTAAGGTCAAAAAAAATAATAGTAATACAGTCAAATCCTGTTAATGTGAAAACTAAGGTGGCCATAAAAAGTGTGCATATTAACAGGGTGTCTGTATTAAACGGGTTGAATTAAGCAAAAATGTAAGGGCTAATCCCCAGGGGCAATAATGAGGTATCCATATTAAGCGGCCGTCCATGAAGCAGGGTTTGACTGTATTTCTCTTTTCCTGCATGAGTGGTGATGCTTACCTACAAAAAACACTCTCGTAGTTGTAATGCAGTAGATTGCTCCTTTCTAGACTTTTCCTTACTTCCTTCTATGCAACTGCAAGATCAAGCTCCCTTAAGGACAAGACAACACTCCCATGCCAAGGCAACGATTGATAGTGTTCTATCCACCAGTTTTTACAAGCCCAGCTTATAAGCCAGCTAGTCATCTACTTAGTACATTAGCAGGTCTACTACTTTTGTACTTGACCAGCCTTGACAGACATGAGCATATCCTTGTGGAATGGATTTCGACTTATTACATGTAAGTGAATACATTTTATAGTCTCTGCCGCAGTTTATGGACAACCACATACCCCCCCCAAAAAAAGGGTTTCTTTGTATGGCGTGACAAAATTGCATCTCACTAACTGCAGATTTAAAATACGGATTGATATCATTGTTAAAACACTAGTAAATCCTGTCCTTTTATTAGAATTTTGATAATCTTAAATAATAATTTAATCTCAAATAATAATTAATAATAATATTATTAACTCTTCAGTTTTCTTAATGTGAATACCACCTAACATACATTGAGGTAATTTTTTCAAAGACATGATGTCAAAGTTCAATGGCAATACTGAAATTGCCTTCATAAAAAGGACATAGTAATACATGTAAATTGTAAACATCCTGTATGACTTGTTTAAGGAAACTATGTTTACAACACAACTGTGCAAAACAACGCACAATTTAGCAAGCATTAAATTGAATGAGAAAAATAGTAAAACCAAAAAATTACATTTATATTCTACCAACAAGTTCAAACAATAAGGAGTTTCTAGCAATCATGACCATGATGGCAGGTAACAATACCACAAAGTAATGTAATCTTATTACATAAGAATGGCAAGCAAAACAAGCTTTTACACAAGCGTACATATTCTGGTTCATTCTGCTAAGGGTGCTCTCCATTTTCACCTCAAAGTCCGTGGCGACCCTAAGCTCTACCTCGTCTGAATGTCCCCACGTCTTGTGATGTGGGCAACAACACGAAGCGGTTTTCGGCATTTTTAACTTCAAATCATAGACTTCATTTCCAATCGACAATAAAAATGCAAATAACACTTGTTTGAATAAATAATCTGAATAAACCCACAGAAATCCAACCAAAGAATTCTACAACAAACGTGGTAACCCCGCAGTAAAATTGCAATCCAATATGGCGGCCGACCATAAAACCATCCGTCTCTTCGGTTAGACCCAGTTCCCCATTTCCCATGGTAACGAAATTCGCCATGTACAATGTTGATGATGCTGGGACCGAATTTAGCACCAAAAATAGCCAAAAAAATCATTTGATGGGCATTTTTGCCCCGATTTCGACTTTTCGGCCAATCGGAGACCAGAATTTTCATTCAATTAGATAATTAGCTGTTGACAGCTTTGGATTTCGGATGCCTACTTCTTACGTGGACCATTACTTAACAATCATGATGTCTCACAGTAAATTTGAAACTCTTCCATACAGAGTTAGTTTAAATAAATACAATATAAATAATAGCTAAATGACTGCCTCTTAAGAAACAGTCAGTTAAGTTCAAGTAACAAAGTAGCATTAACATCAAAGAAATTTCCATACTGGATGATTTGCACCAAAATTATGTGTAAAGCAAGCCAACAGCAAAACTCTTAATACTAATATTGTTATTATTCTACTATTGATGGAAACACTAAAGGCTGGGGATTTCCCCGGCCTTTTATTGACATGAACCCCACCTACATTCATAAGAACATGGTTCATACACATCATTTTATACTACTTTCCACAACAACACTTTGCAAAAAATGACTTGCAATTATTGCATCTGAGGTACGGAATAGAAAGAAAAAAAGAAAAAGAAATGAAATATTGTTTACGTACACGTTACCCATGAGTTCTACAGGTTCTTACATCGATGATGGGCCAAATTTTCCTCAGTAAAATAGTCTTGTTTTACAGAAAATCGTGGCTGGCGTAGACAAGGTAGTGAATTTCAAGGACTCTTCATGGCGTAATAAAGAAATCAAGTACTTTTCAAGGACCTTAACTGAATTCAAGGACTTTTCAACATGAATGCTTAATTTCAAGAACTTTCAAGACTGTACAAACCATGACGAAACCAAAGGAAAATAGAACCAAATGGACTTCCTAGATGTGATCCCATCTTCTAATGGCTTACCACCAGCAACTTGAAATCTTATTGAGAGCCCTGAGAATACATTGTACTGTACATACTGCATAACGAAAATCTGTTTTTCTCTTACAAGGTTTAACGCAAAGCTTAGAAAACTGCACAGTAGAAATACTTCTGGAATGTTACAGGTGTAACGAGTTGCAAGGAAAAGGCCAATTGGACATTTGAGTGGAGTGAGTGAGTCACTCCTGGCAACCATCCACTGAAACCATTCTCTAGATAAACAACTCCTAAAATGAGTTTTTTTGCCACATTTTTGGTATCACAAGTATGGTTACTTCAGCTATACAAGCAATGGTTACTGCTACATGCTGGAGAACGTTCATTTGAGGAGGTGTTTGAGTAAGCAACCTCAACTGCTGCAGTGTCTCATGCTCTCTTGCAACAGTGCAACAAAATTACCAATCAATTTGTAACAATATTCCGCCCTAGTGTGACGGGCTGTTATATGTGTAGGTTAAAGTCAGAGCCAATTACACCAAGTTCAGGCCAGGTTTTAGATCACTTAAAGAGTGTTCACTCAAATGCTGATTAATCGAGAAAATGCAGCAGAGAGTTTATCATAAAGCACCATTTACAATAATAGCAATCAAACGTCTTTATAAATATCTTAAATCAATATTTCATATCATTGCTTTTAGCAACACACTGTGCAAAACAATGGGTACGCATTGAAGCAAAAGGTTTTTGACTGTATGCACTACTTCAAAACATGCAATGAATCTGTCACTTTGCAAGGCATACGATCATCCGTAAAGAAGGCAGTTGAAAACATGTAAATTCAAGACCTCAGTCATGCTATGAATACACATTTACACATAGGTCATTGAACTTGTGGTGCTGGTATCTTGGCTGTTTGAAGCAGGACTGTCCTCGATGGCTGAATTTGACAGCTTTACACTTCTCTGTCTCCGTGGCATCTTTCTCTTAATAGAATCTGTGAATTTCTTTAAGGAACCACGGCTACGAATCTTCCCTGTTGTGGTTGCGTACTTTCGGTCGTTCCTCTGAAACTGCCCGACATTCACCAAATGAGAATCGACCTCTCCAAAGGACTTGCTTCGTCGCACTAACTTTTTCTCCGGCTTGTAGTAAAACGCCTGATACTCCAAAGCATCGTTGACTACTCTATGGGCGGCCTTGTGACCGAAATGACCGTGAAATCTGTACGAAAAACTCCCTCCATCTTTTCTTTCCTCAGAGTAAACAACAACATATAATTTCCTGTTCTGATCAACCATTGTGATAATCTCGTGCCAAGGGAAGTTTTCAATCGTATTTCCGGGGATTCCAAAGTTGTCTACAGCGAGGACAAGAAGTCCCGTGTTGCAAATAGCTAACAGAACTGCGTTCCCGTTGTTATCCGTTGCCCCATGGTGTAACGACATACCGTAGAAGGGAAGACTTTTGGCGATCTCTAAAAAACCCAGTTTCGCTTCGCAAGTCGTCAGTCCCTTGTGCGAACGATGCAAAGTATGAACCATAGTTTCATATTTATCTTCGCTTATTTCATAGTCCGAGTTTATCCCATTAGGCTGGGCGAAAAATGATCCCAATAAGTCCTCTAAATATCCACGTTTGTGAATCTTGGGTTTAAAATCACCCAGAATAGCTTGGGCAAAGAAGCCATCCAAGATAGCGTGTTCATTGACGGAGGTAACAAATTTCCCTCGAATCAGGGAATCTTTGATTTGTAAAACCAAAAGGTCAAGAACTTCGTTGGGCACACTGCTTACATCAGACGGATAAAATTTGACTGCAAATTGAAAGGAGTAAGGTTTTTTACGCTGTGGTCTTACTTGTCTGTCGAAATCCAACCACGTTAGTTCTCCATCAACCCCGTCAACAAATTGCAGGCCGAAGTGGTTCCTCCCATTTGGCGGCAGCGACAGTTTTTCACAAACGCGGTCGAAAAGCTCTTGTCCTTTTGTTGACTTTCTCTCAAATGTCGCCACGAAAAGCGAATTGTCTAAAAGAACAACTTGACATTGAAGCTTACCCACTGATTGTCTTTTCTCTTCAAATTTAACCGATTTGGGTTTTGTAGTAAAAATGGTCGATGGCATGGTTATCGACGATTTCAAACCGAAACTCCGCGAAAAAAACTGTTTCGCAAAGACGATCCAAAATTAACGTTGTGTTCCTTACAAGAATTCTACTTTCAAGAGTCTTGACGGCAAAGTTCCTCCCAAATGGTGAGTCTTGATTCAAAACTACATATCATCGAAGGGAAGATGTGTACTGTAGTGTTACTCCCAGGAGTGTATAGTCCGTTAATCCTTCAATCTTATTGGTTCACTTACAAAGACAGCTTTCGCGCGCGAATGTCGCGCACTTGCTCACACGGAAAAAGGAAACATGGCCCGAAAAAATATCACTTTCATTATATTTTTATCATCTCAATGCGAAGAATGGTCTAGCATCTATTTAATACAGTGGAAACTGGTTAATACCGTCACTAATGGGCCAAAAAAATTGACCGTATTAACGGGGTGGCTGTATTTCCGGGGAAGGCTTGAGGGCCGTAATGACAAATACTCAGGACAGGAATACACCGTACATCACATTCACCGTACTGTTCTCATTAATAAACAACCGCAATGTAGCTATCGCGTACAGTAATTGAAAAAACTTGTAAAATTTTCATTCAGTACACGAAACTCTTTTAAAATTCGACTATAAATCGCCACACGTGCATTTTTGAGTGTACTGTAGTAAAAACAGTACGAGAATGAGCTTAGAGTACTATTGAGTCAATGAAACTGACATGTCACTGGCATTTTAATTTTCTAAATTTCGAACGAATGGCCATATTAAGATGGTGAAATTACAAGGGGTTCTAGAGTTTCAGGGGATTTTAAAATGTGGCCGTTGGCCGTATTAAAGGGTGACAAGAGCTCTCTTGCGGACTTGGATGTATGGCCGTTTCGCAGGGCCGAAACGAGGTGGTCGTTCTACTGTAAACGGAAAACCCCTTCATCGATGTAACCTTACAATTTCTGGAGATGAGATTGTAAAGAAAATCAGCAAGACTGCATTGGAATAATCCTCTTTTGGCTCTTTTGAATACCGTGTGGCGTGGCAGGAATTTTTTTGGGCCGGACACTCCCATTTCCCAGTGGAAAAATCAGTGGGGACTAGATTGGGGACGCAGAAGTTGGCGGATTGATGATTGCGTTTTGGTGAGTTCCGAACAGATTGCGGTTTGAGGACGGAGTGATTTTCTTGCCGGAAATTAATTTTGGCTCATTTCAGTAAAAGGCTCAGTTCAAATGAATTAAGAACATTTCCGTTTCCTTTGAAAGTACAGTGTACGTGCGTCAAATGTTCTGTACTTCACCTTGCCGTCTCGGTAGGTCTACAACGCGAAACTTCCTAATTTCAAGTTTAGACGGACCCAAGAAAACAATTTTCTTTTGTTGAATTAGAGACAGTCCTTAGAATTCAACTAGAGAAAAATTCGCCACTATTTGACAAATTGCACAAGGTTATTTGAATGTCATTCGAATCGCACACAGATGTGGCGAGCACATACAATTTCTAAGTGTTTTCATATGACTGTAAACTAGCTAATATTAGAAGATCCAAATCACAAAAACTCTATCGTAATAAGCCAGTTTTAAATTATCAAAATTCTCACTTGACTCCGAGGCTGGCGAGAACAAAACAAAAGAAATGAATTATTCGATTTCTTTTGTTTTGTAGTCACTCATCCTCGTAGCCAAGTTTGAATTTTAACCATTGAAGAAGCCACTGTAGTCCTCCTGTAGTCGTCTATCCCACAAAAAGAGCCCACAACTATGAATTGACACATGAAAGGGTCTCTAATTAGCAAAATATGTAACTATGTCAGTTAATTGCATGTTTTACTGTCCAGCATCTGCTCGCAGCCACTAATAGGGGTGACGAATGGTCTTTGCGAGCATTTCGGGCACCGCGATTTTTTTTGCGAGCACAAGCAGAGATAAAAAATTTGCTTTGCGAGCAGCGAGCAGTTTAGAGAGTACAACTCGCGAGCAGCGAGCACTTCTTATATCTTCCGCTTGCAGCAATCCATATGGAAATCCCTTTCTTTAAAGTAAAACAGAAAATATTTTAAAACGGGGTTTTCATTTAGAGCGCACCAAGTTCTTTGAAGCTAGTTTCAGTGACAGCTTATCGAGATCTAACCAATTACAGTCGCGTTGGATGCCAAATGATGTCACATTTTCGCCTCACTTCATCACGCTCGTGTTCGTACGGATCAGAAAGCAAAGGTCACAAGAAGAACAACCGTATGTAACAAAAATAAATAACCTTATATAGCTAGATCAGCTGACTTATTATTTATCGTTGCCATTTATCGCGTGCATTTCCACTGAACTTGATCGCCATATTTATAGGAATCAAGCACCATACACAATTACATTTACTTTAACCCAAAGAAGGATTTACAAAATTTCAAGCAATACTGACAAGAAAGCGAGGTTGCCAGCAACTGCAAACAGTTTGGGAGCACGAGCAAGCGAGTACTCGTTTAAATTTTGCGAGCAAATCGAGCAAAGGTAAAATTTTGCGAGCAGTTAAAAAGTTTAATGGACCATTCATCACCCCTACTAATCATAGGCTGAATCCGCGAGCGAGCGGGCGAGCACGAAGATGGGCTTAACTTTCCTGCTCGGGATTTCCCGCGTTGATCCCGCAAGAAAAAATTATCTTTGTATTGGGGTGTATTTAATAAATCCTTTATTGACCACGCTAGTTCAGGATGGCTGGATATTGGCCTCGTCCCTTTTTTTAATACTTTTTATCGACCTCGACTTCGACTCGGTCGTGATAAAATGCAAGATATTCGAAGGACCACTTGAAAACTCGAAGAAAAGAACTTGGCCAATGCACAATACTGACCAGCCATCTTGACCCTCCCACCCTGAGGATAAAAGAGACACGCGCGGCTGCATCACACGCTGTAATTAGTACTTTGAATGTATATTGTACCTGTTTGATTGTAAATTAAAACAACAGTTTTGCACATTCCATAGTCGCTATACAACTGGCTATAGATTTAATAGTTGGCGCCCGCAAAACAAAAAATAAATAAATAGAAGTCAATATCCCAGTGGAACATTCGATACAACTTCACACGTCTTCAGTTTTCTTCATCATTCTTCTTAAGGTTGTTATGTTGGACCGGTTAATGTTGAAAACTTATTGAAATCAACTTGACCTAATGCAATATCTCTAAGGTGAGGTGTGATCAGGTCAATTATTCAGACTTTATTCAACTTATGATAGTTTGCATAAAAATACAACAGATTGTTATCAACGTGAGGAAACATAGCAGCACACGGAAAAAGTTTCCCTTTCAGAGAAGTCAAGATGTCTTTCAAGTTTTTACGGGCTTCGTCAAGTGTGATTGAATGCCACGTTGTTCTTCTTGATAACTCACAATTCGTCACTATGTTTGACCAAGAAACGGTAGTGGGAGACGAGCTTTTAGAAAGAGTGTGCGAAAGACTTAAAGTCCCATCGTATGACAGGCAGTACTTTGGTTTACAGTACATTGATACCGAAGACGGAGATGTCAACTGGCTAAATCTGGATAAAGAAATCCGTCCACCCAGAAAATCGAATCCGTTGATATACCAGTTTGCAGTGAAAGTATTTCCCAAAGACCCTCTTCACTTGGATCAGGACATGCAAAAACAGATTCTTTTGCAGTTGAAAGGGCTGATCAACAGAGGCAAGTTCAACCTGCCCGTAAGTAAACATGCGTCAATCGACGGCTTCTTCGCGCAAGCGATGCTCGGAGATTTCATCCCCAAGCAACACAAGGCGGGTTATTTAGAGACTTTGCTCGGAATATTCTATTGTCCTCCAACCGGTATAAACTCCGATGGGGACATCGACGAAGAAAAATATGAGCTTATGGTGCGGGATTTGCATAAATCTCACCGCGGGATGACCCGAGAGAAAGCTGTGTCGCATGCCCTTGATATCTGTAAAGAGTTACCCAACTACGGTGCCTGTGTGTACTATGGAGGGACTGATCTGGACAGCGGGGATGAGGTTGTTTTGTCCGTTTCTATTCAAGGAATTCGCATCTGCCAGTTAAAGAACAAATTTCCTGAAGTCGGCGAAGTATGTCACCATTTCCAGTGGCGCGACGTTATCTCCATTCTTTGTGACGATGCAAAGTTGTACGTGCACCTGGCAGAGGCAGCTAATGGTAACGAAGAGGACACGTCATGTCGCGCGTTCCGTTTCAAGAAAGGCTTGTACAGTCACAAGGTCGCGCATCGCTTTAAAAAAGACGCAGAAAATCACCAGAACTTTTTCTTTGAAGAGAACCCTGAACGAGCAAGGACCATGAGAAGCCTTTCCGTGGATGTGAAATCCTTGAAAGGGATTCGTAATCTGCGTTCTGGATCAGTAGGATCAGGCCGTCAGTTTCTTGCATCTAAAATGACTCTTCCTTTCAAGAGACAAACAACGAAGAAGTAATTTAAGGAAGTTGCTAATCGATATGATCGGCGTATTTGTAAGCACATGAACCATGAGCAAATCATTCTCAATAAGCTAGGCCAGATATAGTTACAGAGACAAAAAAAAGGACGATCTTTATACTGATTTGTTCCTTTGGCTTTTTGAGCTTTTGGGAAACTTCATGTTGTTTTATTAGTTATTCCCAACATCCACTTTCAACGGCTATGTGTTGATATTATCCTGATGCTATCCGTTTCCGTCAATGGATCAACAACAAGGGTTCTGCAGATCCCGGTTACACTTAAGAGATATGTCAGATAAGTTTTTTATTTATGGCATCCCTGACTTGATTAAATAATTTTCGTATTTAATGTTCATTGAATTATTTGCACAAAATGGCCTGAAACTCAAAGACCATTCCTGATCGTGAGTAGTGCCATCCATGTTTGGCTCTACAACTTGTTTGCATAAACTAGTGCGGACGACTCCACCATAATTGCACCTGTGTGGACGGATACGGACTGTTCGAACGAGTTAGTGAAGCGGTTCTTAAAAAAAAAAAACAACTGTATGACCTGCAATCCTAGTAAACGTAAAGAACTTGCCTTTATGAAAAAAGGCATTGCACAGATCTTTGATAGATCGGAGTCGCTGGAATACCTCAGGTCAGGGATCTTGTTTTGCTGGGTGTTACTTTTCAGTCCGACACCAGTCCATTACACCATGTAAAAAATAAACTCACAAATGCAGACAAGTCTTCACGTACTCAGGACGCTTAGAAGAGAAGGGTACAATCAGAAAGAAATTGACTACCTATTCAATTCTATTCTATTCAATCTCATACGGGGGGGCTTGCGGTGTATAGAGCGGCTGAAGCTGAACTAACAACGATCCAGCGTTTTTTTGGATAGATGTAAGAAGGGTAGGTACAGCTCGCATAGCATTGATATCCACGATCTTTTAGAAAAACAAGATAAACAAATACGCACTAAAGTTATAGGCTTAGAGGGTCACCCGCTTTATGACATGTTGCCAAAGGTTAAGAACACTAGGTACCACCTTAAACGAAAATCAACGGTGAAACCTAAAGTAAACACGACGCGTTTTACGTGTTCTTTTGTAAACCGCCTAATTTTTAAATACGAGTTAGTTTTTTAATTTAATTAGATTTTAATTGCCATTTCATGTACCCTAGCTTGCTTTTTACATTTAACAATTTTGTAACATGAGATATGTATGTTTATCTTATGAAATAAAGACCTGTTATTATTATTATTATTAAAATCATTATTATTGTTATTACGTTTTTCGAATACACATGAACAGTAACTTGACGACAATGGTTCAAGTCACAAAATTTGATGTGGTAAACTGACTTTTATGGATGATAAAAACTAATATAAACAAACAAGCTATCTTTTTACAGACTGCCGGAAAAAATGCCAGCACCGTGACTTAAACATACTTCATGCGAGTGGTCTGACGAAGAACTTTCCCTCGCTCGCAGGGGCGTAACCAGGAGCACAACTTTTCAAATTTCCTTTCTCCCTCCGTTAAGTCCCAAATCTATTACCCCCTGATTAAAGGTGAGGTTACGCTACAGCGTATAATCCAAAGCGTTTTATTGTCTATGAAATGACGTCAGAAAGTTGCAGATTTCGTGGTCGACTTTTTGGGTTTGTTTAACAATTAATGAATGAGGCTGAGTATCTTATGAAGAATTATGGAACTCGAGGAGGGTGTTATCCGTCGAGGCCGTGGGCCGAGGCGGATAACACCCTCCGAGATCTCCATAATTCTTCAAATGATACTAAAGCCGAATTCAATAATTGTTTTATTTTTCATTCAAAATAATTCCTAGTTTAAAAACATAGCTAAAACAAGCTTACCTGCATCGATAGTTTACGTTTAGGTTTGTCCAGCTCCGAAAATGTTCTCCAAATAGCAGATGTCGCCCTCCGAGTTGTCTTCTTGCTGTTTTTAATATGTTTTTAACCATTATTTCGCCTAGTTCCAGCTGTAGTTCTTACTCTTGATCTGAAACGAGTGGGCGCCATTTTAGTTTTTACAACGAAAACAACTCAATCTTGTCCCCAGGTCTTGTCGGTTAACGGTGCATTAACATGAGGAAGGCTGCATTTTTGACGTCATTTCCTCGTTAAACACAAAATTCTTCCAAATTTGGTCATCAGTAACTGGTTATGGTGAATTATGCCTGTGCTCTTAGCCAATCGGAATTGGGGAAATATTTTGAATAAATAATAATATAAATTATTGCTTTAGTATCTCAGACTTTTATTTACAAATGATTGATTTCTTGTTTGCCACATTGTCTTTGACTGACAAAAGCACTCTACGCTGATGTGATCTTTACCAGTTTATTCTATATATTTTTTTTACTCTCGACTCACTTTCATTATCAGGTACGCACGTGCGTAGCGTACGTACAGGTAGCTACGCCCCTGGCTCGTCAGGAGCTGGTAATCGGCTCCTGTACATGTGCTCGCATGAATTGGAAAAATTTTTCACCTTTTCTCAGGGACAAATCTGACGATCCTGTATGTGCACTTATTATGGACATTTTCCTGTGCACCTGCAAGTGGGCTCGATTTTCGCGGGCTCATTTCCCGAACAGCGGCTGGTACTCGATCCTAACATGTAAGGCGAAGGGATATTAGTTCCCAGACCCTTGACCGTGTGACAAAAAGCAAAGAATAAATGCATGAAACCGAGATTTAAAAATGTAAATATCAAAACAGTTCCAAGCTATCCGGAAGATTCTTGATATGTTGGAAACTTTAGGGTTCTGGTGATCTTGTCTTTCCGTCCTTTTTTCTGCTCAGCATCAGAGTTCTTTCTCGGGTTCTTTTCGGGTTTCAAAGTCCGTTTATTGGTTTATTATATTGTAAGTATTGAGTTAGCCCGGAAATTTGGCTGATATTAGTAGCCAACCAAAATCTCCGAAAATAGCATATATATTTGACAAGTATTTTACTTTTGGCCCCTGGGGGGTGCTCCCTTATATAAGCTATATGGGTATGTGCCGCCCATCGGTTAGGGTTTTTGCGCCGTTTTGGTCTGAAAACGGGTGTACACTTCACCCATTTTGGTCTGGAATCGGGTATGGTTTTCAAGGGAACTACGGGAGTGTATGAACGTATTTATAGTTTCAATTCCAAATGAGTAAGAAAGAAAAAGAAATATGCGAATTCGAAACGAATGTGAGGAATTGTTTTTGTCTGCGCTGTAATCTAAGTAATACTAACATAATTTCTGCCTAAAGGCCAGGTCTGAAAACGGGTATGGATTTTAGAGGTCTGGTCTGAAACGGGTATGGAAAACGGCATATTTTGGTCTAGACTGTTCACAGTCCCCTATTTTTTCGTGAGATCGTTTAGATATACCGTGTCTTACCATCACGGGTATCTTGATTTTCAAATGTACCGAGGGGGCGGGCGTCGGGGATTATAAGTAGTTTTGACGCTCATGCAAGATGGTAGCCCGTAACACAAAGCGCTCGATCTCGATGATCTTACGGGAAAAATAGAGGACTGTGAGCAGTCTAATTTTGGTGTGAAATAGGGTCAGGATTTAGAGAACCGGGCGAAACACCCCCACCAAGAATTCCCAGGAGTACCCCCCGGGGGACGTTATAATAGATGTATTATTTGTGATTCTTGAATAAATTATTGAATTCATCATTAATATCTTACCTAATCATTGAACTCATCGAACGTGATGCCGTATTGTAATGTATTTTATCGGGATTATATCAATGAGGACATACGTAAAGCAATAAAGAAACAAAAATAAAATCTCGAGAATAAAAATAATTGCAAAGAGTTTAACACAACGTTTCGAAGTTGCTACGACATCATTAACAAGTGACAAGACCAAAAAGTAAACGGCTACAAAAATAAAAACAAGAAGGTAACCTATCAAAAAAACATGATATCATGTAGCAGTCGGATGGCTTTTTAACCATGCAGTCACGCACTGAGTTTTTGGTCACAAATCCTTAATATTGTACATCTTTGATAAATATGCAGGTGTAATATTTGTAGCACTGGCAGTTGTCAGCGTCCGCCAGAAGACCTAGGAAATTTGTTTACTTCATAGAGGAACATTCGATAAAGTTTCAACTGGTTTCTACTTCTGTTTATTTAACGTTGCCAATCGCCAGTAACCTGATATATTAAATTAGAAGTAGCACGTACATGACACCCAGTGCAATATAACCAAAGGAGGTGTGTCCCTGTGTGTAAATTATTGAGAAAGTAAATAACTTGCTACGATAATTTCAAGAAAACTACAACAGTTTGTTTCCATACACGCGGCGGGAACAACAGAAAAGCCAGAAAAGACAGTATCCTGCAACAAGAAGGGGTAAATCTGTTTGAGACAAGTGGTGATATTTGTAACCTCCTTTAAAATATGTCTTTAAGGTTCCTTCGGTCAACTTCAAGTGTCATTGAATGCCACGTTGTTCTTCTTGATAACTCACAGTTTGTCACAACATTTGGCCAAAAGACAGTCGTAGGAAGAGAGCTTTTCGATAGAGTGTGCGACAGACTTTTAGTTCCTGCAGGTAGTAGGCAGTATTTTGGTCTACAGTTCATAGATGGCGCTGATGGAGATGTCAACTGGCTACATCTGGATAAAGAAATCCGTCCACCCAGAAAATCAAATCAGGTTATGTACCAGTTTGCAGTGAAAGTATTTCCCAAAGACCCTCTTCACTTGGATCAGAACATGCAAAAACAGATTCTTTTGCAGTTGAAAGGGCTGATCAACAGAGGCAAGTTCAACCTGCCCGTAAGTAAACATGCGTCAATCGACGGCTTCTTCGCGCAAGCCATGCTTGGAGATTTCATCCCCAAGCAACACAAGGCGGGTTATTTAGAAGCTCTACTCGGATTGTTTTACTGTCCTCCAACAGGTATAAACTCCGATGGGGAGATAAGCGAGGAGAATTATGAGCTTATGGTGCGGGATTTGCATAAATCTCACCGCGGGATGACGCGAGAGGATGCTGTCTCGCATGCTCTTGATATTTGTAAAGAGTTACCCAACTATGGTGCCTGTGTGTACTATGGAGGCACCGATCTGGACAGTGGGGATGAAGTTGTTTTCTGTGTTTCAATTTACGGAATGCGCATCTGTCAGCCAAAGAACAAGTTTCCTGAAGTCGGCGAAGTATGCCACTCCTTCAACTGGCGTGACATTATTTCCATGTTGTGTGACAACTCAAAGCTCTATATTCACCTCACAGGATCCGGTGACAACGAAGGTGAAAACATGACGTGTCGCGCGTTTCGTTTCAGCAAAGGTTTGTACGGTTACAAGGTCGCCCAGCGCCTCCGAGAAGACGCCGAAAATCACCAAAAGTTTTTCCTTGAAGACAATCCTGAAAGAGCGACTATCATGAGAAGCCTCTCCTTGGATGTGAAATCCTTGAACAGGATTCGTAGTCTGCGTTCAAGATCAGTGGGATCAGGCCGCCAGTTTCTTGGGGCTAAAATGACACTTC